CATCTCCTTCTTTATTTTTTTTCGTTTCCAAGAAAATAAAAACAGGTTTACTTCCCCTTTTAAGCTTTTAAAAAAGATTAACTAATCTAAAGAAAAACAAAAAAAGAATTCCATTGATTGTATTTTTATCGATCAATTAGAACTGCCTTCTAGAACGTATAATTGTCTCAAAAGGGCTAATATTCATACACTATTTGACCTTTTGAGTAAGACGGAAGAAGATCTGATGAGAATTGACAAATTGACAGTTTTCGTATGCAAGATGGAAAACATATATGGGACACTCTAGAGAAGCATCTCCCAATGGATTTACGTAAGAATAAGTTCTAGTTTTAAATCCATTGCAATTTTTTCCTCTTCTTCTTATTCGAGTTAGAATAAAAAGAAAAAAGAAAACAATTTTGCATCTTTGGGACAATCTATATTCTACCACTATTTCAATCCATTCTTCTCGGAACCTTTAAAAAATGTATTTTATAGTTTTTAGAGTTTATTGTCACGTTGGGTTTCGTTTTTATAATTTCTAGATGTCCCGTCAAATGTTGCCATTATACTCCTCTACGACCCGTCCACTCTGTCTCTTCTCTTTATTGTCATTGAGATTTTAAAAATCGAACATAATTATCGTATGGGTTCATTTTTACTTTCTATAAGCCCCGCCAAAATCCAAACCGTCAACGGCTTTGCCATTATACTCCTCTACGGCTCGCCCGTTGCCTCCCTTCTTTATTATCATTGACATTTTAAAATCAAACATGATTATCATTGGTTTTTTTACTTTTTAAAAGTTACAAACCTTTAAAATTTGGACTTGTAGTTTTTTTTTATAATTTTTAAAAGTCCCATCAAACGATGCCACTATGCCCCTCTACAGCCCGTCCGCCGCTTACTCTTTATTGTCATTATGATTCTAAAAATTGAACATAACTATCATTGGAATTCATTTATTATTTTCTAGAAGTCCCATCAACCGTCGGCGGCTCTGCAACTATACTCTTATACACCCCGCACGCTGCTTCTTCTTTTTATTGTCATTGAGATTTTAAAAATTGAAATGATTATCAATGGGTTTTTTTTTACTTTTAGAAGTCCCGGCAACCGCCTTACTTGTTTGCTTCACGGCATGCCTGACATCCCTCCTTTTAATCGTCATTAGGATTCTATTTGGTGTTTTATTAACAATTTTTATATGTCATATCAACCGCCACCACTCTACTCATTTATAGCCATGTTACTTAATTTATCTCATCATGTGTTTTAGATAGTCTTTTCTTTCAATAGTCTTTATTTTTATCACAAATTTTAGTTATTTATAAATTGTATTCCTAATTGAAATCTTATTTTTCTTTTCCTAATTTCAGAATTTATTTTTAAAAAAATTTAGTTGATATTGTATTGTGTTGTTTTAATGTTTTTATTTTTTATTTTCAATTTCAATTGTTTCAAAATTGTATTCCTACTTAAAATCTCTTTTAATTTTTCTAATTTTGGATATTATTTTATTTTTTTAGTCTAAATTTTAATTAATCTCGTATTGGGTTCTTATATGGGTTCTTCTTTCAATATTGCTTATTTTTAATTCTGAATTTTAGCAAATTTTAAATTGTATTCCTACTTGAACTCTTATTTTATTTTCTTTTGCTAATTTCGGATTTATTTTTACCTTTATTTAGAATTTTAATTAATTTCGTATTTGGTTCTTATATGAACTCTTCATTTAATATTCCTTATTTTTAATTTCGAATTTCAGCTATTTTTAAATTGTATTCCTACTTTGACTCTCCTTTCCTTTTATAATTTAAGATTTTATTTTATTTTTATTTCGAATTTTAATTAATCTCGTAGTGGGTTCTTATATGGAAACTTCTTTCAATATTGCTTATTTTTAATTCCGATTTTCAGCTATTTTTAAATTGTATTTCTACTTGAACTCTCCTTTCCTTTTCTAATTTTAGATTTTATTTTATTTTTATTTCGAATTTTGATTAATCTTGTATTTGATTCTTATATGGAAACTTCTTTCAATATTGCTTATTTTTAATTCCGAATTTCATCTATTTTTAAATTATACTTCTACTTGGACTCTTCTTTTCTTTTTTTTCTTTTTCTCCGAGTAATGTGGGAATTTTCAGCCTCCACAGGGAATGTGGTGCCTCCTTTCAAAGTTGTTTTAATAATATAATAGATAATACCCATATAATAATAATAATAATAATAATAATAATAATAATAATAATAATAATAATAATAATAATAATAATAATTGTTTCATCAAAACTCCCCAGACTTAAAAAGAGGGAATAAAATAGATTGAAATTTCCCGACAAAATTCTCCAAATTCAAAAAACCCTAATTTCGGGTAAGAACCCTAAGAGTCAAAATTGAAATCAATTAAGCTAAGGGTTCAGGTTACTTACCGGACTTGAAGCCTATAATCTCACCAGAGCTTTCCGGGAAGCGGCACCGCCGCACCTTCTCCTCCTCGCAGTCGCGTCGAGTTCCCCGTGCGTGCGCTGTCCTGGAGCACTCTTCCACCGTCCCTTGCCGGAGACGAGAAGCATTGGCATTGGCGTTGCCCTACCGACGAGATCTGGGCCGCTCGGCGCTCATCACCGTTTGCGCGCCCGCCTCGCTGGACCGCCGATGCCGTGGCATGGCTTGGTGCCCCCCAGCCGGTGAAGCAGGAGCTGCTCGGCGGTCGTCACTACCCACACGCACCAGCTCGCTAGACCACCATCGCTGCCTTCGCCATCGTTCCGCTCTCTCGTCACCGGAGAGAAAGGGGATCGGGAGAGAAGGATTTAGGAGCTAGGGTTTTGCTCCTCTCTCCCGGTCGGCGCTTCATCCGGCGCAGGGACGATCGGAGCCGTCCATTAGATCGGACGGTTCAGATTTGCCCTGTGTCGGGCCGCTGCCGCCGCTGATTACGCAGCCCAATGGGCCACAGAAGTGCATCGGGCCATTGCCGCGTATGTGGGCCGCGCTCGGTTGCTCGGCTTGCGAGCCGTCGAACTGACTCGGCTCGAGCAAAGACGGGCCGGCCCAAGTTTGGGCCAGCTTCGGAAGCCCTGGGCCGAAAGCAAATTTAACTAAATCCTGTCAATTTTAATGCTTATAATGTTAAGAAATTTGTTTATAAGCCTTCTTAGCCAAATAAAGTTGATGAAAAATTATTTTAGCCTCTAAATGAAATTATTTCAAAACCAGATATCGGCTTTAATGGCTTCATCTCAAGTCAGAGAATTAATTTTCGTAATTGAAAGGTGATTATTTATATGCTAAAAGAATAAGATCTTGAATTAGAACTCCAACATTGTGGTATTAGAGCTTAACTTTAGCCTACTCAATTCCTTATTCACATCATCCATGTGATTAGAAGCCATCGGTGCCATCTTGGTTCGACATGAACAATTTCGAGTCAAATAAGCCTAATCTAATCTGTTTAGCTTCTTATCTTTATTGCTTAGTGAAGATTAGCTCATATTCATGTTCAATTAAAGTTAATAAGATTGAATTAGGGTTCATGATGCACTGCATTGAATATAAGACAGTTTAGCTGAGTATTAAGTTGTGGATGAGAAGTACTCAGGAAACTAACCCAAATGGCTTTGCTACTATACATTCCAGTGAAAAAAGATGAGCTGTGTACATATGTGTGAAGATACCTTTTGTGGTTTGGTGAAAAGGGTGGCATTTGTGGTGAATTGCTGTAGTGGTAGTAGTACTACTCCCTTTGTCCTATTTTAACTGCAACCATAAGTTTCCGCGCCTAACTTTGATCGTCTATCTTATTTATTTATTTTTATAATTATGAGTTGATAAAACATGAATAATACTTTATACGTAACTTATGTTTTTAATTTTTTTCAAATAAGACAGGCAATTAAAGTTGTGCACGGAAAATTATGGCTATAATTAAAATGAGACGGAGGGAATAGTTGCTTGAGTTTGGATCGTTGGATGAAGAAATGAAATTGACAGCAGCTGGTGTTGAATTGGGATTTGTATCATGTGCAGTTAGTACTATCACTGCAACTTAGGGCATCCTCAATGTATGTTGCAAAAGTAGGTAGTAAGGTGGGCCCATGTAAGATGGTAATAGTAGATTGAAGATGCACCACAATGTATATATGTGTAGAGTGGGTAATAAGGTGGGACCTATCTGAAAAAGAACCCCAAACATGAGCCATGTCACAATTAAAAATTAGGTAGGACCCACCACAAAGTGCTATAACCTGTAGCAAGCTTATGGCTTGGTAGTAGTTATTTACTACTTCCACGATGTATCTTACCTAGTAGTAAGAATATTTTAATTCCTAATACCCACTTCTCCCCTACATTGTGGATGCCCTTATGCAGTCCACTGCCACATGTTAGATCCGAATCTAACGGTTCAAATGCATCCGGATACTGTAGAACACTGTAACAAGAAATATTCAATATTCTTGCGTCAGTACTGTAGCGGAAGATCTGGTCCATTCATCACCAAAATGAACGGCTGTAATCGCATGCAGTAGTTTAACTTGCGGTCGCTATTCCTACTGCAGGTGATCCCAATCCGTTGAATTGATGTTTTGTGGCTGTGTGGTGTCGAGAAATGAAATTGGTATAGCTTAAGATGTGCACTTGAGAATATAATATTAGCAAGCCTTGAAAGGGAACCAAACTAAACTGAAGAGGAGGGATGGAGGGAAAGCCGACCTGAAAATGAAAATGCTTTCAGTTTGGCTCCAAACCAAAACGAAGCGGGGATTTGGAAATTTGGATGGATTTGGGAATTTGGGTGGGCGCGGAGCTCCTGATTCCCAGCGAGCACTGTGGACCGTCGGATCCAGCGAGATGGAAGGCTCAACGGACGAGATGAGTGGCTGGAGTGGCGCCAAGTAATGAATGTTGTTTCGCGGCATCCAAGAGAAGAGATTGCGCGCGAGCGGGGAGCGGGCAAATAAAATTGGATTTGGGTCCCCCAATTCGATTCGATTATATAAGCGCGTGGCGGTCGCCGACTCGCCGCCAAACCTCCATCTCCTCCAAATCCATAGCCCTCCTCCTCTCCTCTGTAATGGCGGGGAAATCCGGCGCACGCACGAGGAAGCGCGTGGAGGCGACGGATTCCGCCGTCCTGAAGCGCGCGCGCGACGGCAGCGCCTTCACCCGCTGGTCAGTCCGTTTCCTTTTTCTTTGATTTCCCCCTTTCATTTGCATTTCCAATACAATCCAAACATGGGAGTGAGTTGGGTTTGGTTTGCAGCGAGGCTTGCGGCAAGAGCGTCTCCGTGGTCCTCATCGACATGCACAACTGCAGCCTCGACGACAAGATCCGCATCAGCCTAGGTTGCTGCTCATTTCTCTCTCTCTTTGTCTGCCTACGAATCTGCGATTCTCATCGTCATCTTCTTCCTATGATCTGTGCTTACAGAGGCTCAGGTGGTGGAGCAGGCCGTGGAGGTGGCAGCGAGCAAGAAGAAGAGCGGCAAGAACAACAACAACAATGGCGAGGGGGCCAAAAAGGGCAAGCGCCCACCCACTGCCTTTTTCCTCTTCATGTAAGTAACAAACATTCCTTCCCTTCCCTTGGCTTCCATTCCCATGGAAGAAGAAGAAGAAGATGTATGATATGCTTAATATGCAGGAGTGACTTCAGGAAGGAGTACAAGGCGGAGCACCCTGACAACAAGAGCGTCTCCGCTGTCGCCAAGGAAGGAGGGGAGAGGTGGAAATCCATGTCTGACGAGGACAAGAAGCCTTACTTGGACAAGGCTGCAGAGCTCAAGGCCGAGTACCACAATGGCGAGCGCAGCGACGTATGCTCTTTTTTCCTTTCTCTTTGCCTTCCCTCCGGTCCTCCCTCCGTTTTTTACTGGACAAACAATTGATCAATATTGTGATGGCAGGAGAACAATGTTGGTGGCAACGCAGGCGAGCAGGAGGTAGATCAGCCACCCAAGAAAGGCACTGATGAAGACGACCAAGAAGATGAAGATGGTGCAGAGGAAGAGAAGAACGAGCTAGACGACGACATCTAGGCCACCGGTCCAATGGATGGATGGATGGATAATTCCTTCTCTTTTTGTAAATGGCGGATCCATCACATTGCTAGTATGCTAGTGGGAGCAGCAGTATCGATTGATTCTGGTGGTGGTGATCTTCTAGTACTAGAACTACTAGTGCTTGCAGTGTGACCTGCACATCAAGTGAATGAATGAATGAATGATTAGACGACTTAATTATCCCTCTTTTTTTGGATTCGATTGGAGTGCAACTTCTTCCCCATTCCATTCTCAAGGGCTTCCTTCCTTTGCTGCTCTCTGTCTCTATATGTTGCTTCCTTGGTGAATTGACTCATGACTTGTATCTGATTTCATCAACTTAATTGAAACAACAAATGCTGATATACTATGGTTATGTTGTTTGTGGATATTCAGAACTGCTCTCATGTCGCTTCTTCACACTTCAGTTTGTCAAATTAAATCATACTCTCCCTTTTTTAACTTTAGCCGCAATCAGTTAGGGGTTACAACTTTGGCTACCAAAAACTGTGTTTTTTTTGTACATAAAGAATAGCCTGCAAAATCAATACCTGTAGAGGGATAGTAACTGAAAGGAAATTTGCTTCGATGTCATGCAGTTGAGCGGTTAAAATGAAAATTTTATCTAAATTATCTACTCTCTTTGTTACCAAACACTTGTCACAAATTGATTGGCACTTTTTAAATTTTGGCCACTAATATTTATAAAATGGTTAGACTAGGATGAGTGAAAACTTAACGCTTATGTTTAGGATACAACACGTTTTGATAATATGGTATCTTTTTGTTTTTTTGTTTTTGTTATTTTTTTTGCAAAAAAGATGAGTGATCAAAATTTATACATGAATAGTGTTCTGTGACAAAGTCATCATGTTTGTTTTTCATGTTAGAGTTTAGAGAGGAATTACTATGTTGTCGGAGAATAAGGAAAGTTGTGCGATATGTTATATCGCAATTTTGTATTTATTTTTTCTTATTAGTTTTTTTCTTGTGAATAACTTATACTCCCTCTGTTCCGTTTTAATCATCATATTTAAAAAAAAGAAAATTTCCATTTGATCGTCGTGTTAGGTAGGGTTGTGTTGACGAAAAATCCGCGCTTAGTCGATGGTGCCGGAATTGTGTTGCGCGAACTAAGTCGACGAATACAACGGTCTGGGAGATCTGTTTAGCTCCAGTGTAGGTCCAAAGTTTGATGAGATGCAGGCGTGCCAATCCGTTTGATCCTGAAACTGACAAGATAGATAACTAAAGAGCCGATCGGCTGACAAGCCGATGGAGTAATTCCAGCCGATAGGATTTTCAGCTATCGGCTATATGGTTGATGTAGAATCTGACACTTAATGTAAATAAAGACAATCGACTAATGATAATGTAACAAAACAATAATATAATCCAATAGAAACCAATTGGCTAACAATATGATAGAATAATCACTTATTCAAAAGTTAAAACATATATCGGCTAGAAGTCCGATGTTATTAAATCCAAACGATTAGATAAACAGTGAAACCTTTGTTGTGATCGGCTAAATCCAACTTGTATATAATCCTTATAAGCCGATGCAATGTCTAGATAACTCATCGGCTAAAACCCCGATGAAACCCTCATTGGCAATCAAAAAGCAGGCTAGAGGTTATGATTCTAAGCACGAATAGGGCTGATGCAGTGCAAAGTATGAAAAGAAACATAATATCTAGACAATCAAACCCTTGACTGATTTTTAGAGTGGTAGATATCTTACTTAATCTAATCTGGTAAAGTAATTTAGCCGGTACCCGGCATAAACCGTAAAACGAATCTTAGCCGATACAAGTAAATTGAATTACCAAACTAGATTAAATAAGATATATGATAGATAAGTGCTTACATTGACAAGATCAGAGTGTCGAAGTCTTAGCCCCGCCGATGCAAACAGCCATGACAAGTATAAACTCATCGAAAAAGTAGAAAAGTAAAAGGGTGGCGATGTGCCAAATTTGTATTGATCGTGGATATAGTTTACAATGACCCCGTGCGTACATATTTATACCCATGGGTAGATACTAGTCCTTGTTGGACAAGAAAAAAACTTTCCTAAAGATAAAAGGAAAACATAAAGTCCTTATGGGACACTAAAGACGCTTCTCTAAATATAAAAGGAAACAAACAGACTCTTCCCAATTAATAGATAAACTGCCATGCCACATCCTCCTTGAACTCGGTCTCTTCTAGATAAGCCTTCATATGACGGTTGGAACGATGGTTGTGGAGGTCGGTGCACCCACAACCGTCATTGGGAGGCTACGAGGGACGTCCACGTTCAGTTAAACCCCCTGTTCGGCCGACCCCTGGGTCCCACCTCCTAGCCACTCCTTTAACCAGGAGACTGACTGGTGGGTCCTTATAGTGGTAAGGACGGTTTGGCCCCACTTTAGGTCAGTTTCAACTGTCAGGTGGGCCCTCCAATCCTTATAATCGCGCATGATTACCAAGAGGTTCATTTTCGTCGCATGGTGGGTGTATTTTCTCCTTAAATGACCTGTATACAAATGTTTACCAAAACTAGTAGAAATGATTAGTAGTAAACCCCCACCACTAAGTTTTGATAGTATATTTCATTTCTTTTATGCAAAAGTTGATGGTTACAGTTTGCACTTAACGACCGTCAACAGCGGCCTGCAAGGATATGAAAGGCTGATAGTGCTGATTGATTTTGATTAATTGATGTGCTAGATTATCTTGGTATTGCTGCACAAATCAAATATGATGATACAAATGAATGGAGGAAGTACATTAGGTTTCACATTATTGTTTTCGAGAAGAAAACCGCTCCTTACTGAAGATCGAGCAAAAACCAATGACTTTTAGTCAACTCTATACAAAACCACTTTTTTTTTTTGCAAACTGACCCTAGCGGTTTCATAAAATCGAGTAGTTTTCACCATTTTTAGTAGGAAAGGAGAACCCTGCTTATGCCCCTTTTAAGTGAAATATCTTGTATGCCTTGGAGATGCTGCAGTCCTTGGTCCCTCGATATGATGTTCTACTTCTATACTATGTAATTCAACTTGGTAGAGTGGCTACAATTGCCTAGCTAAGCTTGAGCCAAGATTTTACCCTCAAAAGCTCACCTTAAATTCTCCCCCACCCCAAAGCCAAAAGATTTAAATAAATAATTGTGAATTTTTAGGATAAAAACTTGCCTAATAATAGAATATTACTAATACTTTAAGAGAACTACTATGCGAGACCCATGTTTGATTAAAATTTTACCTATAAAATTTTTGTGTCTGGCCTCAAGGTTAGACTTAGTATTGGCCTTTTTAAGATTAGCCTCTTTCTATGTCCAACGCAATATTATATTTGGTCCATCTATTTTATTGACTAGCTAATGAAGGTTGTATAGATTGAATATCACATATTAGAGCGTGTGGTGAAGATTGTATTTTTAGTTCTTTCCATATTTGATACGATATCCAACTATCTTCTCTTAGAAGAACGACCCATGATATTAAATAAATTATTCTATCTTGGATATGTTAGATATACATATCCTAATTGAACCTTTATTGCCTGAGTTAGTAGTCGACTACTGTGTTTTTTTTTTCATGTGTAGATACCGTAGAACATCCTAACCTTCAAATAGTCAAAGATAGAGACAATTAGTGTCAACATCAGGATGTGAATTCTATGATTAGTGGGCCCATTTATAGGTAATGACATGTATGTTTTAAAGTAGTTCAATTAGAAATAAATTAAAAGAACTGGTAAAATAAATTAAGATGATGAATGGGTGACAATCTTTTTTTTCTTCTTCTAAATGTTACAGTACCTCCTAAGGAAAATATACAATAGATGTTATCCTACATATAAGAATAGCAGTGTATAGTTGGTAGTGAGGGGGGAGTGGTCCAAAGAAAGTGTGGTTAGGAGGAAAACAAGAGAGAGATGATGAGTGTAATTAGTGAGGAGAAGTAGTAGTAAGTAACAAACTGTGTGTTGGTCCTGATAGATGGAGGGTCAGTCGCTCACAGTTAGAGAGAGAGGACAGGAATAGATGGATGGATGGATGGATAGGTACTCCAGATAGATGAGATGAGATAGAGAAGAGAGATAGAGAGAGAGGCAGGCTGGTAGAACGGGTCACCTCACCACCTTCGCCTCCGCCTCCTCCTTCGCCTCCGTCTCCACCTCTCCTCTCCTCTTCCTCTTCTTCCTCCTCCTGGGGCCTAGCCGCCTAGGGGGGTTGTGGCCTGCGACTGCGACTTCTTCCTCTGCCTTCTGCTCTCTGCCTCTGAGTATATGGAATATGGTGTGTGCGTGAAGAGAAATTAAGTGAGGGAGGGGAAAGCGAGCGAACAGGGCAACAATGGGGCAAATGGACGGCGGCGACGGCGGCGGCGGCGGCCACCCCTACCACTACCAGGCTCTCCTGGCCGCCGTCCACCAGCAGACCGTCCCCTTTCCCAATCCCTTCCCCGCCCCCTCCTCCGGTACTCTCTCTCTCTCTCTCTACACCTTCTTCTTTCTTACCTCAAGGAATGTTAGGGCAGCAGGTAGGCAGGCAGACCACCAAAATTCAGATCTTTTTCTTTATCTATTACTACTATACTATACTATTATTAAAAAGGAACAAGAGAATCTTGAGGTCCTTGTTTACCATTTATTAATCTAGAGATCCCCTCCCCTCCCCTCCCCTCCCCTCCGCTTCTGCTTGATTGATTTCATTTTGGGTCTACTCCTACTATGTATGTATTGTATTTAGGGTGATCAATCATTCCTCACTCTGTCTATTCAATTCATTCACTTCACTTAATTGGCCCATCTATGTATGTATGTAAATGTAATTGACCATGTGCTTGGATTGCAGGAGCCGAGCCCCCCCACCCGCACAACCACAACCACAACCACAATCACAACCACAATATTCACAATTCTCACAATCACAACCACAATCACAATGCTGCTCCTCACCCTTGTCACACTCCCACTCCCACTCCCACTCCCAGAGGTTTCGCCGACTGGAGCGCCTCCACCAGCGCCTTCACCTCCCTTGCCGCGCACTCTTCTACTGCCCCCAGCAATGCCGTTCACTACAGCTTCTCCCCCTGCTATGCCTTCTGGACACATTACATGCTCAACAAGAACGCCTACCCCACCTCCTTCCCTGCGCCACACGACGACCACCTGCGCCTTGCCAACAACAATCATCCTAGAGACGCACCAGGTACGTTAAAAGCTATCTCCTTTCCAACTAAACCAGCATGTACTGCATTGCCTTTTTTTCCTTTTCCTTTTAAAGCAATAACCAAAATTAATCTTCCGTTGCGTTGTTCAGAGCTACAGATGTTGCTTGTAACAACTAGGAATTTTTACCGACCTAGCTCATTTTAATTATTCATGTGCCTCTGATGTTGAACAAGTAGGTCCATGAGGCATTTACATTATTCCTCTCCATGCTTCCATCAATATGGGTAGTACATCTAAGCTACTGTATTCCACTTTGGCATTAGCTAATAGCCAGGTTTTCTCAGTCATGTACATATGGGGCAGCTATTTGCGTCCCGCCAAATTCTTTCACCCAGCCATCCTCACTTTTTTCCACATATCCTGTTTTAATTACAGGTCCTGCATCCAGCTACGGGGTCGAGTCTTTTACTTCACCGTCCATGGCACCGAATATTTGCACCCACATGCCTCCCATAGAAGGACCCATATCTGCCAAGGAAGATAAGAAACCAGAGGTATATACATCAGAACATTCAAGATTTGGAAAACCCTTCCAGTTTTCATCATCCTCCATAACACATAATCTAACTACCGTAATGGATGCTAACCAGATTTTGCCTAGAGTGGTTAAGAGCAGTGATGAATTGGAAACCAGAAACAGCAATGTTGAATTTCACTCTGAGACAGTTGGTACTCTCCCTGAGTCGAAGCAAGGCCATGACAGTCGTGCTACTGTGAGTAACACACTACACTTAACATGCTGTCTGTATCTGATTTACTACACAAATTTCTATCTTGCATTTAATCTACATTAGGCAAGTACATAGCATAAGTAATGGAGCAAGTATCTATCAATTACTCAATGCCGATATAGTCATTTGAGCAGAAGGGCAAATGAAGCAGCAATTCCTTACTAGTTTAGTAATTCAAGTAGCTTGTAAAGATGATTAGCCAAAACACTGATGCAGTACACAGGCACATACTTCTGTCATAATTAGCAACTTCATTTCCTTTGTGTTCATGGGAGTGTGCTTTTATGCCAGAAACTACTCAACTCGGGAGAATACCAAGTCATTCTGCGCAAGGAGCTGACAAAGAGTGATGTTGGAAATGTTGGAAGAATTGTGCTACCCAAGGTGTGTTCCGTATTTCTGTCTCTTGGAAGTTCTCTAGTATCATTCTGTGAGAACTTTCATGTGGTCTAAACTATGCTTCATAATGTAACTGTCTGACTTTATTTCAGAAGGATGCAGAGGCTAGTCTTCCACCTTTGTTGCAAAGGGATCCTTTGATACTGCACATGGACGACATGGTGCTCCCAGTGACATGGAAGTTTAAGTACAGGTGCCTTTCCTGCCATCTTATGACATCTCTCACATGCGATTTCTGAAAGACAACAAAGAAAAAATGGTTCTGAATTGCAATGACTTAACAAGATGCCTAGATTAAGAAAAAGTGGGAGGTTGAAGGCACTGTATGCATTAAGTTCCACAGCATGTTTAGGAATCTGAAATTTGTAAAGCAGTTCATAGGTTCATACATCTTGTGGCAGCTGCCTGATTGCTAATTCTGGTTCGGTTACATGATCAGTTTTCACAGGATGGAGAAACCGATACATTGCTGCCTAACCTAGATATACTCTAGCACTTGCTACTACTAATTCACAGAGTCAACGATGCTATTTCAGGTACTGGCCAAATAACAAAAGCAGAATGTACATTCTGGATTCTGCAGGTATGATTCAACATGGAAAGTATTGAGTATTTCCTGCGGAAGTGGACATGGTAGATTGATATTTCGTATTCATATTGGCAGGTGAATTTCTGAAGACACATGGTCTTCAGGCTGGGGATGTCATCATTATCTACAAAAACTTGGCTCCTGGCAAATTTGTATGCAACCCTTTTCTTTCCTGTTTCTTCCTTTTTGTATATTGCATATCTGACGTCAGCATTTATGGCTTGCAAATCTCAATCATCGCTTGACATAACTGATAAAAATGCTCAGTACAAAAAGTTGAGAAACCTTACTAAATACTACATCCGTTTTTTAATATATGACGCAATTGACTTTTTGACAAACGTTTGATCATTTGTCTTATTCAAATTTTTTGTGCAAATATATATATATATATTAAGTGATGCTTAAAGAACATTTCACAATAAATTAAGTCACAATAAAATATATGATAATTACATATTTTTTTGGAATAAAATGAATAGTCAAACATATCTCAAAAAGTCAACGGTGTCATATATTAAAAAACAGAGGGAGTAAACCAAAATGACAAACATATAGATCACCACTCATGAATATTCTGTGGGATGCACTCAAAGTTGCCATCTCCGTTCATTTTCCCTGAAAAGTATGTTAATAACGATTCTTCGCATATCTTATTGGACCCTTGTGTTTTTTTTACAAAGATTATCCGAGGAGAGAAGGCCATTCATCAGCAGACAACAAATCCCTAGATGCATTTGGGGTTAATTGCAACAGTGTTAGTTGATGCATTTGAAGGGAAGGACGTGGACTTACCATAAGTTGGCAATCCAGGAGAAGTTGAAAGTGTCATCGATTTTTATATCACTGGTGGCCACCATCACATGGACAAAGATTAAAGCGCATGCAGCTTGGACCTGTTTAACTCTGAATGAATGAGGACGAAAAAAAGACAAGATTGGTAGAGTATTGGAAGTGTTGGCAATGGGCTTCTACAGCTTATCTTGGGTTGAGAAAAGCACTTGTCAGTTTATTTAATTCAGTTATGTTGGGGAGCTTGACTTGTAGTTTTCAGAACAATATATTTGCAGCTTCTGTAAATATTTTTGGATCTATAAGATAAAAGAGAGTGGTGTGTGATTTTGCTTTTGATGTCATCCATCTATTTCTCATACTAATGCCAGGAATGTCTGTTCATTGTCAGCAGTACCCTGTATCCACAACATTCACCGTCCTGGTTGTCTGTGGTGCCTTTCTGCCAGTAGAAACATCAGCCAACAAAAAAAAGTAGAGAACTGGAGGTGCGGGGAATCGAACCCCGTGCCTCTCGCATGCGAAGCGAGCCATATGAGCTACACCCCCGATAGTTCAAGTAAACACAACTATGTCATATATACCCCATGATGACAGCATTATAGCCATAATATATAATATGATCAGTTAGTTGTATGTTTTTCCCTTGGATGAAGAATCAGTTGTACCGAGAGAACAGACGTTCTTTTACATTAACAGCGGCCTTAGAATACCAACCACCACCACACCTGACCCAATATTTACAGACATTCCCTTTCTATTGAATAAAGTGCAGCGGCAGCATGTACTCCACTTTCTTGCAGCAACCAAGAAAGTACCCGCATACCCGCCTGACTGATGGCATGTTCTTCCCCAATAATCAAGGATAGACACACGGCAGCTAAAACAATTCAAAGGAAAAAGAAAAAGAAAATCCTCAAAAAACATTACTTATCCCGTGGCACCTTGGTTAGTCTAAGCTCTAGCATCCTTTGGTTGTCTTCATGCCATTAGTACAAATCAGGCAAAGGCTCCTCTCTGTCAACTTCCCCGATAGGATGCTATGCAATACATCTCTCCCCCTTTCCAAACAGGATCTTTTACATCAGTCCCGCGTCCATATGGGAGTTTCATGGTATACCATAGGCACCAACCTACAGGATAAAACAACAATAACAGATTAATCATAACAGTTCCAAACGCAAAAACAACTCAAACTCAAAGCTGAACCAAATAATGAAACATTACTGGTGATAAGCAGAGTCCTTATAGAAAAACAAAACCCAAAACAAGGAGCAACACAGTTAAAAAGAAAGGATCTAACTAAAAGAAAAAAAACGGCTGAAGCTTCATTTACCCTTTTTTTTCTACGTCCCTTTTTGGTATAGCATGTTTCATATTATTAACATATGTATTAGTAAGAAATGGCTTCAGTTCTCCAAACTATGATAGAAATATTAATTTTGTACTTGCTAGTAGTTGTTACCGTATAATAGCCGGATAAGACCAGGCACAATTTTAACATACAACAATGGATACTACTTAGGACAACAAATCAACAGCTATGCATTTAGTGGGGGTGTCCTACAGACATGTGATTATAGCCTTACCATTCTGTCCATTTGGAGAAGTGTATTCAGGCTGCCTTCATTTACAGGTACTGGCAAGGGAGGCATCTGACCCATGATACCAGGCGTCTCACTCATTCTACAACATTTTTTTTTATAAACAAATTAGCTAACTTAGACAGGGAGCGATGAAATATGACGGTAAAATGTTCCGGCTTGATCATGCTTACTTCTGCATCTCACTGCATTAATATACGAAAATACTATGCGTTCGATGTTAGATACGATTTTAAATTTTTAATACGATCAAACACCACGCTGTCCACGTGGAGCGGTGGAACCAAATTTTCTATTGGACCAGAACTTGCAGCCATTAATAACGCTAGGAGAGGAACATTTGATTGTACAACCATAGTAAACAGAAGATTGTAAGTATAGCGGTGCTCGTTAATATATGTGGGGCATAGTGGCAGACTCCTGCAAGCACAAAAAAGGAGTCTCCTTGACTTAAGATTAACGTGCACAAGTGGTGAATGCAAGACTCTCTAGGGAAGCACCATATTCTCCACCCATCAGGGTTCAAATCATGGTGTCCACATGCTGCATGCACCCTTAATTGGTGCACAGGCTGGAAGTTAACTTTCTTCGTCCAAGAAATGCAAGACTCCTCCAATCCAGGGTTCACAAAATCGTTCACTGATCGAAAAATCCAAGTGGTTTTTGTTGGTTTTTTCAAAAACCGTTTGGAAACTGTAAAATTAGGATAAATTGTCAACATCTTGAACTCAGTTTGATTTTTTCTTTCGAATGACCAGTTTACCAAATGGTTTGTTAGCTTGAGCTGGCTCAAAAACCTTGAAATTTCATGAAAACTAAGCGGTTTTGTGAACCCTGCTCCAATCACATTCATATTGATAAAGTACAGGCAATGGCAAGGTGCCAGGAACACACTGAAATTAAAACAGATGACAGGAAAGTGATACAACCAACTTATGCATGTTGCGTGTTGTGTGTACCTAAAGTAGCATGCACGAAGTAAATCAAACATGAGCAAAATGCAGCATATCACAATATCATACCTTTTAAGAACTGTTCTGATATTATTATTCGTCCGCAGAAAGAGATCCATATTCTCCACCGTCTGTAAGTAATTTGAAATTTCAAGCATGATTACAACAACTTAAGCTTTCACCTATCGATGGATAGAGAAATAAGGGATAGCACATATCAGTAAGAAAACCTTGAAAGTTTCGATATTTTCGGCAATCTGGCTTAGTAACTGGTTATTTTCCTCCAAAAGATGCTGAGTTGCACTATCTAAAACAGGGACTGCTTCAGAATGGGAACAAACGAACATCATCAGGGCCAAATATAACCAGCAGGAAATAGCTACAGGATATCTCATAAGAAAAAAAATTAAGTTATCTTCTCTAAGCAGAGTTATTGCTACTACTCCATGGTACAAAAGAACAGAACCGTGTCAACAGAACAGATACAAGCATCAGGATTGGCATGTAACGACTAGGGTAATAATAAAGAGCACCAACTTCACAACCATGATCAAATCACGAATTCACGATTCTGTGTTTTCAAATAAGGTTGATATAATTTCTCAGTGTAAACTCTCAGATAATTAGTGAAGCCCATAGATCTAGGCACACAAACTTAGGAGAAGCCGATAGATCCTAGCCACTGGGTGCTAGTACTATCAGGTGCAACACTAAGCTACCAGAGAAAAAACTCGATCAGCGGGGGAATGACCGCCCCCATGGCTTTCCATTAAGAAGAAGCCTCAACCAAACCGGTCGAGAAAAGCCACGAGCCCTAGCCCACCACATGCGGGCTCGCTCCCTATGGATCAGTCCTTAACCTGTGCTTTGAGGCACCTACCCCCTACACGAGGGCCCACCCTCCATAAGTCGATTCTTAACACGTTTTTACGAGGGGCCAGCGAGTGACTTTTTTTAACTAGGCCTGTAATTCGCTTGTGTGGGGAGTTGAACCCAGGACCTGGAGGTGCTACTTGAGCACTGTAATCGCTAGGCTACAGGATTAAACCAAATCACTAGAATTGAACTACCCAAAGTGAACAAGAAGAAATAACCTATCTACACCATTTATCCTATCGACAATATCAATGAATTGCTCTTCAAACAACTTTGACCAACAGCTTAAGTTCAAATATGCCATATAAAGCACTAGCACAAAAACAAGTGATCACATTTGAAGGAACAAACGTAATATGTTTAACTGTGGGACTGACTGACCTTCCTTATGAAGCAGGCTGTTTTGACCCTGATAATGCATTGATATTGAGAATGGTACCATATTGTTTGGATTTTGGATTTGAATATTAGCTGCCAAGGTAGACGAAACCATGTTGTCCTGCAGTTATGTCCAAGCAACTTCATAATGCAGAAGAGAGGGGACAGGAGGGGGTGAGCAGAAGTACAGAAATGAACTAAAGGATCTTGACATCCTAAAATAGTGCCCGGGTAGCCGCCATGATTAGGCATTAGATGGTGCATTAGGCAGCTGGACTACATTGGGTGGTGTTTCAGTGTTATGTAGTCTACTTTTTTTTATGTAATATGCTTGCTAACTTGTTGGATTAGACTAGTTGGTCTGACCTAGGCGCCACGCGAGTAGCGCCTAGTGCTTTGTTGAACCACGAGTAGCAGATGAGATGTCTAAGTAGAACAATCGTTGAATGAAAGAATACCTTCAAGCCCCTTATCATTTTCCCCGTGTAGACTTGGTCAAGTTTTCCACGCCTACTTTCGTTGTCCTGGAATGGCAGTTGAACAAAATAGGCAATGGCAATTACACCTGGTAAGTTAGAAAGAGTCTATAAACAGTGTTAAGAAATATAGGCCCTAGGGGCAAACATTGAAAGCTAAAGTGAGATATGATATGTTATTCCAGCTTGCAATCAAGTTGTGTAGGAAGTTTGCATTTGGTAATTGGTTAGTTCCAGGTTGGGATGAAAGTAAGAGAAAAAAAAGAGGCATTGATATATAGTTTGTTGTCATTCAGTTAATAATCATTTATACTTGTTAGTTGAAAGGTAAGTTAGGTGGAAGAGAAGCATATGCAGTGGCATGGTAGGTAAATGGAGCTAGGGAGGGAAAAAGGAAGTAGTAGCATATATACGGACGAAGTACTTACTTTAGTCCATCGGCATCTTAAAGCGACATCCCTGATAGTCCTAGTAGGCAGCATTGCGGCAATCTTGGTGTACTTGATAATATTGGGTTCATGAGCATATCTAGTAAGGAAGGAGAGTAGAGTAGAATTGATTGAGTTAATGGAAAGAAAGAGAGGGTGAATTGCAGGAAAAATCAAGGAGAAACCTGAGGAGGCCGTCGTTCAAGATAGCGAGGTCGTGGTGGGGCCAATCGGCGGGGGAACAGGTGACGAACTTGTAGTTGCGGAAGTCGGAGGAAGAGGAGGATGGGGCAAGAAGCATGGTGGCGGGTGTGGGAGGTGGGGGGATGGAGGAGGATTGGAAGGAGAGCATGGACTCTATCTCAATCTGGTTCTGCTGCTGGTGGAAGGGGACGCCCTGGTACAAGGTCATGGCCGTGCTCGAATCGGCGGCCATCTCCCCCGGCCCACCTGCAAACGAAACCCTAGCTATGCTATCTGGACGTCGTCGCCATTGACGACACACACACACTCTCTCTCTCTCTCTCTGCTCTCTTTCTCTTTGTGTGTGTGTGTGAGAGAGTCTCAAATAATCTCTATCTCGTCTCGTCGTCTGCAAGAAGAAGAAGAAGAAGAAAGCAAGAAGAGCCAACAGCTCTCAACAGCAGCACTCCGAGTCCGAGTCCGACCCCCGTGAATGAATGGATGAATGGAATGTGTACTCACTCCTCTATTCACATTGTGAAATGTCCATCCTGCCCCCCCTTCCCTTTCTAGCCAAGCGCTTCTCTTCTCTTCTTCTATCCATCAGTCAGTCATAGCAGAAGATGATGAACTACACTACACAGTACACAGTACACAGTACACACACAGGTTTTGCATTTTATTTCTGGAATCATCAATCATAGCAAGCACAGCAGCAGCCGCTAGCATAGCATAAATAATGCATCAAAGATTTTCCTTAATTTTCTCCAAACAGGACAACATAAGAGGAAACAAGACATTACGATGCTTTAATTTCATCATCGATCAATATACCAAAACATACAAGTGATCAATAACAGACAAACAAACATTCAGTCATTCTTCTCTTCTACTATCCTTTAATGCCAAAATTACTCATCCTATACTCTTCTAGTCTAGTGTAGTCTAATAAAGTCAACTAGTAGCAAATGAACTCTTCTCAAGAAAGAAAGAAAGATCCCAACTCTTCTCAAGAAAGAAAGTGCATATGTCACTTGACACCAACGGACGCCATGAGATCCTCGTACTCAGCCTTGTCATCCTCCGTCTTCCTTTTTCTTCCTCCTCCACCTCCAGGTCCTCCTGACATTACTGCACCACTCGGCACAAATGGATCGTATATTGGCTTCTGTTGTGCTTGTGCCAACACATGAAACGGCCGTTGTGCTTCAACTGCCGCTGGCGGGAGAGGGAAAGCTCCAACAAACCCCCTTGTCCCTGCCGATTGAAGCACAGATGCAGCTGGATTCCTTGGGAGGAAGCCTCCACCACCAAAGTGTGCATGTGGATGTGGATGTTGATGTGGATGCGGTGGACCAGTGGCATACGCCCGGCCCTGATGACCCATATCAATAGGCCTTTGGAAACCTTCAACTCGCGCCATAGGTGGTCTCTGGTTGCCAGGATGGAATAATGGCACTTGACTGCCTGATGCTCCAAGCTCTGGTGTTGGTGAAGCTGACACAAGAGGCCGAAAGGTAAAATCACCGCTGCTTGGGCGTGGTGGCCTCATAGCGGTCATGTTTCCAGAACCAGGCACACCAAACCCGCCAGCAGGTGGCATGCCAGGAGTTGGCCCAGTCTGAGGGAAAGGTGAAGGCGGGCCTCTCATTTGAGCAGGTGTTGCCATGGGAGGACGCATTTGCATCGGCAGCGGATAAGGTGGCTGTGTTGTTAACCCAGCAGGAGACGACAGCACTGGCATTGAGGAAGGACCCTGAGGTGACAATTGGGGGGCACCAGGAGGTATGGAAGGCATTGTTGCTGAAGATGCAAAGCTTGCGCCTGATGGATGATGCTGAGTGCCATAGCTTGTGGAGATATTTGATTGACGAGGAAACGATGGAACAGCGGCACCTTCCAGCTGTGGACTTGAAACAAGAGGAGACACGGAAATAGGAGGTCTCACTGGCATAAAAGCTGGTGAAGGCCTCTGAGATTGCACTGGAACAGAAGAAAAATTTAGCCATCCTCCAGATGCATGGGGTGTTTGAAGAGGTCTAACAGACCGCGGCAATGTGGAAGATGGAGTTAGTTGCGGGCTTACAATTCCAGGGGGTCTACCAAAGGGAGACCCAATTGAGGGGTTTGCTTGGAATTGAAGCGGAGGTTGTTGAGCGTTTGACACCAATGGCTGAGGTCCAGGAATAGGCAATGGGTTTCTTGGCATGATATTCATAAGAGGTGGTGGTCCTGTGTATGAAAGCGTACTCAAAGAACCGCCAGGAGGCTGAAGCGGAAAAGAATTGTTAGGTAATGCACTCGGCGGAGGCTCAGAGGAAGGAATTGGTGGAGCATTGGCTTGGGAAGTAGATAGCCAGTGAGCATCATGTGATTGGTACTGAAGAAAACCTGGCTGAGAACTGTTGTTCTGCACCTGCCGCAGGTCAGCTAAATCTGCACCGCCTGAGCTAACTGCTGATGAAACAGTAGCATTTGCTTCAATAGCCCTTGAATTTATCTGGTGAGATAGAAATTTGAGGTGGTCAACTGAAAGCATACTATAATAATTCGTCAAGAGGAGGACCAAGTTGATGGACTTACAGAGACAGGAGTAAGAAGCAGCTCAATCAGTGCAGTCGCAGCATCTACTTTGTCATGAGTGTCAGCTGAGACATTTATGTACAGGTCTTCATAAGCACCTTGCACTTCACCTATGTCTGCTTGGTGAATCTCACTCTGAGCAGAAATAACAATTTTAGGTTCCCTAAGGTAAACGCACAAGAGACAGATGTGCTGTAGAGCTTGAACAACGGAGCATGGAATAAAGATTCAGAGAATCAAGAAAACCAATTTACCTTCTCTCCGTTGGTTCTCTTAATCCCATATACTCGTATTTTAGCTCCGGTTTCCTGCATACATAAAAGTAAACACAATCAGTTCCCAATAGATATAGGAGTGCTGTTATCGTGTAAGTTTCGATAAAATAAAACTATAAGCTGTCTAGTTCATACTTCCTGTAGTCGCTTCTGGGCATTGCTCTCAGGTCCCATAAGAACTCCAATTATATTATGCCCTGGATATGTTTTTGTCTACAATAGGCAACAGCACAGAATGCACCATACTTTAGTCATCCAAATGTTGTATCTACGAAGATTTGTTTAAAGATATAAATGAATTACTATGTATCATAAATGAGTGGATGGCACGCTACTGTAGCACACATTCTGCTGAAACTGCCACACATTTGTACCAAGCAAGCACTGGTAAAAATCACTGTAACAAATTGAACTAAAAAGAAAGAAACTCCTCTTGGTGCGCAACAATTCATGGAGAAGCTCAAGATTATACAAAAGATCATCTTGAGGTAAAAGTAAATAGATAAGCAGTAAGCATGTCCACGAACAAGGAAACAACTAGTGATGCAAATGCAAACCACTAAATAAGCATTGAGGGGCAATATTTTACATACAGGCAAAGGGATTTTTGTTTCCTTGAGTAAAGGCTTGTAGTCTTCAGGAGCCTTATATCCTGGATTTAAATGGAGTATTTCACCTAAAGATGATATACAATCGAGTTAAATAACACAAAATATTTTTGAGACATGGCATGGTACAGATCTCTGTATCACATTCCCCACAAAATATGAAGCAGTAAGATGGCAATACGAAAGGAAAACTTCACTGACCAATAATTTCTCTTCTTTCAAGTTCCAAGAGCTCAACCATTCCCTGCTGGTACACGAAAAAGGAAAGAGAGACTTATCAAATAAGAGCGTATAATTGTTCGAAATATCTTATCATAGCCACAAACCAGCATGCCTTCAATAGAAAAATTGTGATACAATGGAGGACGAGATCCAAAATGCTTCACACTATCAGTAGTAGTTTATAGACGGTAGGGAATGAAAAGAAGAAAAAATTTAAAAGGGGGCCTAAGTAAGTTTAGTAGTACCACATTCTCTTTCTCATTGTTAGCACCATCAGAGTTTGAGCCCCTTGCAGTAGATATCGAGCCTTCATTTTCACTTATCTCTAGGGATCCCGATATCAGCTCCTTGGTAATTTGCTCCAGTCGACTCTGCTTATGCAGTAATATGACTTAATGACATATGGCAATTGAAGCTGCCAGCATGAGAGAATTACGAGGATAATATTACAGGAAACTCAATAGGTTACTTTAGCATTCATTGTCTAGTAACAAGATCCCCGTAAAAGGATGAGAAACGGTTGGTTATTTGAAGGACACATGATCCAAAGTTATAACCCTTACAACAGAAGGCGAGCAGAAATAACTTGCATTAAGCCTGAGGCAATTTGTGAATAATACTAATATCAGAGAGGATTCTAGGGATTGATTAAAAATGCCTAAATGGAGGGATCCAACTAGAGTCAAGTCATGCTAGGTATTAGGGGTAAAGATTGCTGCATTGCAATAATATTAGGGATGCATGGTGGGTTGCATATAGTCAAAGTAGATAGTGGTTTTACAAGCTACTGATAGCAAAGCAAATATAAATAGGAGGAGTAGAAGCAAGCAACCTGGTAGGCCGAAGCTCTGGATTTTCTGACGGCAGGATCCAGGGTGAGATCCGGGCCCCATTTAGTGTTTCTTTGAGTAGAGTTGTTGTTGTTGTCTTCCTTGGACTTGGAGTTGGAGGAAGCAGCAGCAGAAGAAGAAGCAGTAGGTGATTCATTCTTGGCGTTGGAACTGGAACGGGCAATGAGTGAGCCAGGGAGCTTGTTCTTGGGTATGAGAAATCCAGCTTTGGCCCCGAAAATGGAGATCTTGGAGGGTTTCGATTTTGCGGCCATCTAGTCTAATCTAGCAGTAGCAAAAAAGAAAAGTTAGGGTTTCAAAGAAAAAGAAGAAGAGGAGGATGGGGGGAAATCCTACGTCTCGGCGGTAGGTTGAGGCAGAGAAGGAGAAGCAGGGCGCCTTCCGCCTTGGGCTTGCTCGATTTTGATGTGGAGCGGAGGAGAATCGAATCCCTTCCCTTCCCTAGCCCTAGTGTGGTAGGGGAGGAGTACTAACGTGAAGAGGAGTACCCGGACGGAGGAGGAGGACGACGACGGAGGTAGCATCAGAAGCTGCACTGGGCTGGGCTGGGCCGGGCCGGGCCGGGCCTATACGAATTTCCTACTGGCGTACTCCCTCCATCCCAATATGTAGTAACCTAGTATAGGATTAGAACTTTAGAAGTTCTAAGATGATCTAATCCCATCCTGGATTACTACATATTGGAACAGAAGGAGTAGTAAGTAGTAGTAATTATATAATTAATTATTGCCAACAGAAAGAAACTTTCGATTCCTTGTTTTTTCAGCTTGTTTAAGTTTTCTTTCGACTGGGTTGTTCAGTCTCCACTGCCAAAGAGTCGAGTGTACGTGTCCACGACTTTGCAGGTCCGTTGTTCATTCGGTTTCAGAATTCAATTCAGGGGTAACAGCAAGCATCAAGCAGCAACAACAATAGGAGGCTGAGGCTCAACTGAAAGCAGCTACTACTAGTATACAGTGGCTTTGCTTCTTCTTCACATCATTTGCATTGCACCCAGCTTCTGTATGATTCTCATACACAACAAACAAAAGTGCAAAACAACGCAATACAAACCAATAAGGTACGCCAGCTTCAGTATCTCTGTATGCATTCTTTTCATCAAAGCCCCCAAATGTACACTAGCTTGTAGCTACACAACCCCAACTTTCCTCCTTTTCCTTCTGCACCCTCCAGAAAAACCAAAAACACAAAATCCCTTGCCATACCCCCCCCCCCCAAAAAAAAAAAAACATCTTGGACACTGCCAATCTACCAAGCCTAAAACTCTGGTAACGGTTTGCACTGGTATCAGGGTTAGGTTATGTTATGTCGGGTTACTAGTCTGTCTGTCTTTCTATACAAGGGAGGCCATTGTGCTTGTGCCCGCCCCTCTCTCTCTCTCTTCACTTCTTCTACATGTTAGTGAATTATAAGCTAATAATACTATAGCCGGCCTCTGGTTAGTGAATTATCCTACCAACAATCCCCTCTCTTCTTTTTTCTTTTCTGGGGAGTGGATCGCACTTTCTTTGGAATGCCTGTGCCTTAAGTACATCGAGACAGGAAGAACTCATAGTCTGGGTGGCAGTTCACGGATTCCCCACCTCCCTTGGGAACCACAGCCCTTGCTGCGGCCAGTGCACCTCGCTGCAGTGTCCTCAGCCTCTCTTTCAGAACTTCAGCACGGCTGCCCTTTGATGACTCACCATCTATTTGCAGTTGCTTCGAATCTGGACGCCTCAGCTGAAACCACTGCTCTCCCTATAACACAAGAGGTTAGTCAAGCTGAGTTATTATGCATCAATTTCCAAAAGGAAAACTAATAACAAAGTAAAGCAAGGTGCTTTTTTACCACTACCACTCAAAAGTAGGTAAACTTAACAATAAATTCTCTCATGTAAAGCTCGTGTATCAAGTTGTGCATCTGTTTCCAACCAAATACCACACATAGGTCTGATTTTTAACATCTTTGGAAGATATGGTTTTAAAAAGGAGACCGTTGCAATTCACTCTTGTTGGATAAACAAAAAATGAATGAAAATTGATTCTAAATAATTCCATCATTATTAACATATTTACCTATATCCACATCAATTTTCCTCTCTACTTTTAAGCTTTGGCTTTTACCACATAGTTCTTTATAATTAATGCGATGGTTTCCTCACCGCAAATATATCCCTTTTTCTACCAAATATAGAATGAGATCATGATAACGAACACAGAGTATTAAAAAACTCTTTTGGTGAGTAACCAAGGGCATATAGCGGGAAATCAACCAATCAATAGTCTTTTTTGCCGAGTAACTGATAATTCAGTTACATCTGTATTCTCTGGACTTCTCAGTTTGATTTGCATCTGTATATTGGCAGATGGCTCTCAATTATCTTGATCTTATTTCAAGATCCCCATCGTATCGTATTAATAATAATAAAGTCAGGAGCTATATGCTAGATACATTCAGTAAAGTTGCTACACTCATAAAAGGAGTCGAATGCTACCTTGTCACTGTAACTCTGCAGCCCAAAAACTGGAGAAACAATACGGCTACCTAGACCAGTCAAATCTGGGGAGCCTTTCTGTGGAACCAGTTTACCCAGTGAATGGTAGGTCAAAAATGCTGCACGCAATTTCCCATGAGGTACACGGTAAACAGGATACCAGGCAACACTGAACCTAGAATTGAACATATCGACATGATCAATAGGTGCCAAATAACCAAGGGAATAATTAACACCAACAACATTAGAAGTTCAGTATGCATTGCAGAGCACATTAGGTATCGGGATCAAACCATGAAGCCGGGTGAAGATCACATAATTTCACATTTTGCAGCTTTTCAGGATCCCCAAATATTTGATGGCCAGATACATTTACACTGCTAACAAGCTCCTTGATCCTACATTAGGTTGCAGCAAGATTAATACAGAAAAAGGTAGACCGAAACAACCATGGCTGACGAACAACAATTCAATATCCAAATTGATTCAAGAGATAAGCGCTCACATTAGAAAGGCAGCACCAAATATGAAATTATGGACTTGCCCAGAAGAATTAAGAAGTTCCCTCCGGGTTGATAATACTTGTCGTTTTGGACAAGGCTGATGTCAAACTTTAAATCTTTGACTATGAATTATTTCTAAAATATCCGTCTTAGAAATATGGAGACCATATGTATATATTAGTCTTAAAAAGTCCTTCAATATACAAAGTATATGTATATATACTTTGTTTCCCTTATTGTTTTCAAGTTGGAAAAAAATGGATAATTTATTCATGAGTGATGGCATTTAGTATTTATTTAGCAAGATCAAAGAAGGAAGAAAAGAGGGTAATGTGCCTAGGAAGTTCTAGGATAACTTAGACTTCAGAAAAGAGGTGGAAAAGCTAAAAACAACTAATATTTAGAATCGAAGTGAAAGCTCTTTTGAATAATCCATTGGTAACTTATGATGTTAGGTAAGAAGCAGTCCAATCAATTGAATCACTTTGCATCACCACAACATGTACTCCATGTTTCAGAGGGAACCAAAATGCCTCCACCCACTTGATTGGACAAAGCGTCATTGTTCACAAACCCAATAATAGTTTAAAATATCATACTGGTCATAAGTCATAACAGAAAACCATTGAGTTTCCTTGCCTGAATTAATCACTAAACTTTCTTTCCTGTTTCTAACAAAGTTAATGGGGATCATTTACAGTCATGAACCTGGAGAGCATTTTTGAGGCAGACACCAGATTGAAGAGTCATGAAATTATTTACAAGAACTACAATGCAACAAACTTACGGAAAAGGACAAGTTAAGAAAGTGGCCAAACTCTAGTATTTGGTTCCATGCTTAAGAGTTTGTAAATGTACAAAAGACATGAGCAGAACTTACTTTTCAAATAATGGAGGCCGAAAAGAAGGCTGCTCTGTTTCAAAGTACTCAAAAATGACTTCTCCATGATCTTGTATAGAGGAAAATGATTCTGACAAGCGCATACTTTGCTCAAATGGTCGGAGCAACCTTGCAGATACAGGGTGAGAACACAGAGAGCTTCCAGTATTTGATGTCTCACCCCCACCAATGCCGAAACTGTGATTCATACTTTTCCTAGACCACCCAAACAACTGAACAGCAGATAAGTAAGGTACAAAGTATGCACAGAACTCTGAACTGTTGCAGAATGATGTCTCTGGACTGAGATCATTACAAGCTCTCACTTCCAACCCATAGCACCCTGGCTCTTCATACCATTCCCATATGCTCCTCAAGGAAATATTAGACAAATTTTGCTGACAAATGGAGTCATTAACTAATTGGTCCTTTGAACAATTGCTGCCCTTCATGCAAGGTACATGACCAATGACTGGAGTTGCCAAATAGATAAATGTATCAAGATCAGTAATTGGATGACCGGCAGCCAGGTGGGCATCTGCAGAAACTTGCACTTGATAGGCATCACCAACAACCCTGAACATCTCAGTCAGAAGCATCTCAGCACTGCATAACTTTTGGAAGCTGTGATTCCATTCAACAGCCACTAAGTCAGCTTGGGCAGACCCAGAACCTACAAAAGGCGAGCATTAAACATGTTCTGTGTTAGAAAGTCTACCCCCAAGTAGTATTTCATTTTTGTTCACACGGCTAAGAGAGAGAGACAGAGAGAGGCTCTTGAGATGAAGCTGTACCAGGTAACAGCGGTCCAGGAGTGGTGCCAATGGCATCATTGGTTTGATGCGAAGTTCCTAGTCCTCTTTTCTGCAAGGGAAGAGCTCCTACAGTACAATTTGTTGATCTACCAGATTCTGAAGGACAATTGCCCATTGTAAACTTTGGAGCTGTAGTTTCAGAAGGTGAATCCAACCTCATCTCACAGCAATTTGATTTTATACCGTGCATAGCATTTGGTAGCTTTTTATCTGAATCAATGTTCCACTCGTTAAAATCACTATTTGATTTTCTGCTGCTGTCCTCTTTTGGATTCGAAGAATGAAGGAGGATTCTAGCATGTTTGGAAACCTTCGATGCAACTCTACTATGGGGCTCTACCTGCATGCAAATATTACTTGGCTTATGAATGGTATTCTTGGAGTTCTTTAACACAACTCCATGTTGAAGATGTATACTGCCAACACGGTTTTGTCTACAGGACAAATCCTTAGTGTTGAGTTCCTGGAAAATTTGCCTAGAGGAACGGCCAACATAATTGTCATTTCGACCACGTGTAGCAGCAGATAAACGCTCTCCATTGGAACTCTTCCAAAGTGCCATTTTCTTCTCTTTTCTAGCTCTCTTTCTTGAAATTACTAGATGGAAATCGCTGTCACTGCTAGTGTCACTGCACAAATGGACTGCCTGGATTCCGTTGCGCATACCAACACCATTCGGGGAACAAATACGACTACTGCAATTATCACCAACTCCATCCCTAGAACAACATTCTGTCGTTTCACATGGATCAGATCCACGCTCATTCTCGAAACTCAGCAGAACCTTGTTATCATCCCAACAGTCCCCGCTGCTGCCAGCACAAGTCTCTTGAGATGAATGAACAAGTGTGGTATTACAATTATTATCCAAACACCTGATGTTACTCTTGTTGTGCTGTCCAAACAATTCCAGGCATGCTGTTGTTGGTCTATACAGTTCTGTCTCATCACAGTAAGAAACACTTAAAACTGAAGCAACTGAACAGGCCGGGTAATCATCATCATTTTCACTGTCATGTGCCTCTTCAGAGGCTTCTTTCACTGATGAACTGGGTGAGAAAGTGTCCTCAAACAGTATGTCACCAACACACTTAGGAGAAAGTGTCGAATCTTCACAATCAACCATACTAATCGCAGGGGTAGGACAGTTGTTCCCTTTACATTTAATTTCAGATCCAGCTGTTGGCTTCCTACAACGTTGCTTGTGCTTCTTGCTTTTCTTTTTGCTCTTCCTTCTTACAGTATGTCCTGCATTCATGCTTGTTTTGGTAAAGCTGTTGCCTAAGAAATCTGAATTGGAGATACTATTAGATGCTGTGGATTTCTCCCCTAGCAGCCCTGGTGAAGTATCTGCCCATGATTTGTTAGATTCATGTGGAACGTTAAGACGAAGGAGAATAATTGGTGGCGAGGATGATGATGATGAAGATGACAGGTCAAGGCTATCTTCTGGAGATGCCAGTTCGGATGAGCTATGGCTACTTCCATCCGTGTGTTGGAATGGTTTGAAATCACAACAGATGTTATATGGAATTACTGTGAAGATACGACACCTGCAAGATACACAGGCACACAACTAAATATACATGAAGCCACAGTTGCTAGCAAAATGGAAAATTTAGCAAAAGAAGACACTATAAAGGAAGGTCACGCCAGTTCAGAAAGGAGAATAACCCATAAGCATCTGGTATTACGACATAAAACCCATGCATACACAGGTAGAAAAGAAAAGGACTGTACCTCTGGTGCTGCTGTCTTGATTCAAGACGAGCTACTTGACGTTCCTGGAAATCAGGTAAGGAGGCAAACGTTGTAACACACTAGCAAAGATGGCATTGCTTCTCAGAAGAAGAGGAGGAAGAAAAAGAAAAAAAGAGGCGGGGCTTCAGATTTATGGTACATACAAATTGGACATTGAGTGGGTTCTTCCTTTCTGATGATCTCCCAAACAAGCGGGGAGACCTCCTGTTGACAACACCATCTGTTGCACTAGCAATTCCATGTCGAGGTAACATTTTCGCATCAGTCCTGAAATATGTGCGATCCTTAGGAAAAGGAAAAGGAGCATATGCATCCATTTTCCGTACAAGCAAAGCATCAACCACAGTAGTAGTCAAGGGGCATGTTTTACTAACTACTCCATAATGATTATACTCATGACGCTCATCAAATTTTTGAGTTGGACTCTATTTTTCTGGAGACAAATGAGTGGCTTGCTGCAACATTGCCGAAATAATAAATAATCCTTTGAGATGAGACCTAACATGGGGGGGTTTCAGTTGGATCCCCCTCCCCCAAAACATGAAGAAAAAGAAAAGGCCCAGTGATACTACTACACTAGGCAGAAAACAATGTGAGAAAACCATGGTTGACCAGAGCAGAGCATATCAAGTTGCATATAGATTTGAAGTCGCAATATTATTTTAAACCATACAACATAACATACCCTAGCCTACCTACCTGAACCTGAGGAATAAACTAGTGTACTGTCTGTATTATGGTATTTCTACAACCTTTTTTTGGGTGCGGGTAGTAGTATTAAGGTTTAAGACGGAGAGAAAACCCTAGGGCACCTAGGTTCCAGATCTAGAAGAGAAGAGAAGGTAAAGGCGAGAGGGATTACCGGAGGGCGGCGGAAGCAGCAGCAGGACGAGGAGGAGGAGGGGAGGCGGAAATCGGCGCAGGACGAGGGAGGGAGTCGAGGGCGAGAAGACGGCAAAGCGCGGCGCGACGGCGCACCCCCTCCTCCTCCGGCTCCGATCCCCTCCACTCCGCCGACCCGACTCCTCCAGAAAGAGAAAGATTCTGTTTCTTTGTTAAGCGAACAGTACCGAATATACTCCACTTTGTTCTAGTAGTAATTCAAACCTGTGCTACTCCAGGAGTATGTGTATGTTTTCTCGTCACGCGGGTGGTGGCCTTGTCTCCCTCCCTCCCTCCTGTTTATTTTTTTCTCTTGTTGTTTTGGGTTTCGCACTTAGAGTTTATGCTCTCTCTCTCTCTCTCTCTCATTTGTAGGAGTATTATTATTACTGGAGTAAGTACTACTCAAAGGTCAAGTGCAGTGATTTCTCATTTTCTTTCTTCCTTCACCACACTAGTACTCCTACTCCCCCCATTCTAAAATATAAGACATAACCACCCTTAACTTAAAGACCAAAAAATAATTTAGATCGTCATAATAAATATAATACATGCATCCAATAAAGTTAGAGGATGTGAGAGTGAATGATTTAAAAAAGTAGTAATTTAATGAAGAATATGTTATAGTTAATGACATTCATACATGCATACCTTATATTATGGAACATTAAAAAATTATGCATTATATTATGGAGTGGAGGGAGTACTTCACAGGATGGAATGCAGAGCACATATATATATCCCCTCAAAAAAGTAGAACTATTTCCATTCAAACTTTCTTAATTCCGACCATAAAAATATTTCTCATATACTACTTCCTCCGTTTCACAGTATAAGACTTTCTAGCATTACTCACATTCATTTAGAGGTTAATGAATTAGACACGGAGGGAGTACTTTGTTAAAAATAAACAAAAGAATATACATACATATGAATATCACAAACTTAAGCTGCTTGGACCTCAAATTAAATTCACGCACACTTCCAAAACACAAATACAATTATCAACAAAGAGATGTACGCCATTGTAGATGCATGAATGAATGAAACCTAAACCCATTTGGGGTTGGGGATTTAGCAGACCACACTATTATAGCAACAAACCTGAAGGTTTGGTTGGTATGTCCATCACAATTTGATTGCAAAACATCAACCATTAATTAGTTTCATGTACATATAGAAACCTACTTTTTTTTCTAGCTACATGCAGACCTTCTCACAGAATAATCAAGACAGACCACATATCTCACACAAAACCATAACCTTTCTTTGGTCAAAGTCATAGCATTTCCTTCTTTGGTTTCTGCTAGCTGCATCAGCCTGACGAATATGATATAACATCCAAGCTTACAATTAGATCAGCATAAGTACAGCCCCCAGGGGCCAAGGCCGTCCCCCAGTGCATGCAATGACATCACGCAAACCTTCTACGGAAACTTAAAGCAGCACAAGATAATCTATGAGCACAGCACATATGGGGGATTTCAGCAGTCACCTGCGGTGCTTGCCAGTTGAATTGGAGCTTTCTTTGCCTGAGAGGAACTGGATGCTTCACATATTGAACACAACGACGATCCGGAATACCCAAAAATTCCATCATTGCCTCTCCCAATCGGTTAGCATTTTTTTTTTGCAGTTATCCAACCAAAAAAGGTTAAAAAAAATCATATCCATCATCCCTAGCTTGTGCCAAGGGACTACAACGCATAATAATGTTATCAACTGTACATGGAGTACCCTCTTTCTTTGTACAAATCTACATTTTGCCTCTTCAATCCAGCATTGGCATTGAACTTGCCACAGAAGCTCCCCTCAACTTCATCAGAGTAACCAACGGCCATACCAAACAAGCCAGAAGAAACCCCTTGCCTTTCAGTAACAGAAATTGTTTAGACCTGTCATAGTGACAAACGAAGTTAAGCTAAGCAAAGGCAAATTCCAGAAAATATAGCACCATGATTACCAACAAGGCAACAAGTGCAGTTTAGCCACATATTAGCCCTCTATACTTCTTTGCACACATAAAAATGGAAGGAGCAATGCTTTACAGAATTCAGACAATGCTACCAATTTGCACAAAGACTAAATTACAAACCACAAAACCAAATAATAGCCATGTGCATCAATGGAAATTCGGAACAGGACATAAATCAGACTTGAAGTAAGAAGATATTGATAGTTCAAAGTTCCATAACTTTCCAGCAGCTTTTAGTTCTGTTCAAAGGATAACATAATCAAGTTAATATATCCTGCAGGGCAACCTTGATTTCAAGGATAGAGTATGTTATGCGTATATGCAAAATTCCAAGGTTCAAAATTTTCCATAATGCAAAGAACCATTTAACAGAAGCAGTGCTTGATGATGTGTTTTTTTCCCATTATTATGTTGAATGGACGAACTTTACCATAAAATTCAGTATGTTTGCAAAACATCAAATGAAAGCATCCAATCAATATTTTCAGACTTTTTGAAGCGTGCATAATGCACTTACAGGCACCAAACAGTTTCTCTATGAAAAGATTATCAGCATACAACTAATTCCAGCCATCTTTTAAAACTTAACTCGACCTTGCAAATTTCCTCTTTATTGTTTTTTCTGCAAATAAAACACCCCACCATTTCCCCTCTAATAAATTCAAACATATTTAGAGTGATATAATCATGCCTGCCACCCCATCATTAGATAAGATAAACTTATGTGGTTTAATATATAAGAGGGATTTTCAGTTTGGACCCCTTCTTCATAGTTTCACATTGGACCCCCTTTGGTCCATATTTTCCCTTCGGACCGCTTTTTCTTACCTTTAGTTTTCACTTTGGACCCTTTACACTCTTTTTCTCAAGGTTAAGTCCGGGTGCCATCGGCGATCTCCTCCCTAGCCATGTCTCCACCACCGCCTACCCGGAGATGGCAACAATGTTGAGGGAAAGGGTCCAAAGAGAAACAAACAAGTAAAAAGAGGGGGACAAAGTGAAACTATGGGCTAAATGGTGTCCAAAATGAAACACTGGCAAAAAAGAGAGGGTCCAGACTGAAATTCATTGAAAAATAAACTCAAGGAAACTCAATACGGTAAGAACAGTGTGCTTGAGATTTTTATTGTGAGCTTAGATATGTCTATCTAGTTGAACTTAGTGATGATTCACAGTGGACACAATAGTCCAAGTAAAACTGCATAAAATACCATAGATGGAATGCCCTGGTATGATTAACTTCCAACATTTCTACTGGACTCGCTGCTTATGACTAATGCCTTCTGAGCATGATACAATAAACAGTTAAACACAGTTTGCAGTCCTCAAAAAGAACACACCAGAAGCAACATGAACAGAGACGACTTTGTTTCATGTAAAACATGTGCTTACACTAAGATTAGTCTGCTGGATGCTGTTGCCAAGACTAATTACAATGTAAAACGTTCATTCCAAATACTATGTAAGATTTCATCATGCCTTCATAAGCAAAAGTGCATCTTCATCACAAAACAGACTAGCATAAGCACCTCTTGTTGCAAGTTGAATTGAAACGGCTTCTGGCAATCCCAATTTCCCATGTGAAAACCCTGCATACAACAAACAATAATTGAGAAGGGGGGATCATAAGTTTATATTAGAAAAATAAACTTACGATGGAGGACTCTTAGACAAATAACCTGAAGAGAGCATTCCTAAAATAAAAGAGAGAAATACAATAAGAATAAGAGAGGAGAGTATCCGCATACCACGAGCAAGGAGTTCAATTTGTGAAATTTCATTACGAAGGCCTCCAGCAATTAAATGTGTGAATATCAGGTCTGGCCGGCAGCATCTGAGGAACATGTCCTGCATAAACAAGAATAAAAATAAAAGGTTTTAGAATATATCGGTTCATGTATCAAAGGAACTACACTTTTAACAAATTTCAAAAGATTTTGGCAAGTAGGCAACAAGCAAATTAGCGTTCAAGGGGGACCATGGCCTTCAGAATGAAGTTATTAAGCAAATGTAAACTCTCAACAAACCAATAACCTGGTACAGGTGCTCCAGATGGCATACGGTTGAGTACAGGACGTTGATGAGTCATAGGGTTCATTGAAGATCTGTCAATGTTAGACCTTGGATATCCTATTGAAGTGAATAATTAATGTTAAACCTGGGTTAAAAAAATTAAAACAGATAAAAGACAAGCTTACCATCCTGCATGAATGACCCCTCTGCACAAGATAATGCTCTGGCGCCTGGTAACCAAGTATTGCGCTGATCATCTGGGCTGAAGTTACCAGATGTCATTCGCCATTGCTCGTCAGATGTATATTGACTTTGATTATTTGGAAAGGACTGTACAGCATAAGGATTGCACGGAGGTACAGCTTGTTGGCCCACTGGGTTCATTTGTGTAAGATGAGTGTGGGGACGAACTGGTGGTGTTTGTGCAGATGGAAAAGCACTGAATGTCCCTTGCTGAAAAGGTACACCAGTTGGTCGAAACTGAAAATTACCATTAGAACCTTGTGGTTTTATATATAGATTGTTATTCCCATAATCTGGTGGCACTGATGGGGTAAAATTAACTGCAGCTTGAGTGTTCACTGATCCACCAGGAATGAAGTTTGTCATATTTCCAATTCCTTGAATTGATGCATTCCCTGCCATCTGGTTAAGTTGGTTGCTCTGCATCAAAATCAGTTTATTATTTAACCAGGAATACTTCTGGATCTGCAAACCAAAGTACGTTGGAAGAAAAAAAAATATTACATTTGAAGCCCTGAAATATTCGGGTGCAGGAGGCTGATAGCCCAATGATGACGGAGATGATGGAACAGGTGGGGGAGGAATAGGTGGGGGCTGGATTGGCAGGGGTGGTGGGGCAGGCTGAGGAGGTGGGCCAGATGGTAGAGGTGGGGGTGGTGGCGGAGGTGGCAAAGATGGTGAAAGTGGTGGTGGCGGTGGCGGTGTAGCAGGTGGTGGTGAAGGAGGCAAAGGAGGCTGGCAAGGTGGTGAATCTGATGGAAGCGGTGGGGGTCCCTCAGGCAGAGGTGGGGGAGGTGGTGCATCTAATGGAAGCGGTGGAGGACCGTCAGGTAGAGGAGGAAGTTCATTCTGATCAGCCAATGCCTGCTCTCGATCAATTTCATGCTGTAAGTCATGCACAACAGGGATAGCTCCATCTGTCTGTTGCTTATCTCTTGGTAAAAGAGAGGCATCTTCCATTGGAACATCACTAGTCACATCTTTTGGTAACCTAATGTTTTCCTCAACAAAATTTGGTGCAATAGCTTGTTCATTTTCTTGCATCCTGCCACTTTGAACTGGCAGTGAAATAGCTGGTGATAATCCAGGGAAATCGTCATCATTTTCAAAGACATTGGATGATAGAATCCCAGAGAGCTCAAAGTTTGCATTGCTGACCCCCCAAAAAAGAAACAAAACAACAAAGCATACATGAAAAATGTCAATGATAAGTTAATAAAGATGGTACAACGCATAATCCAACCACAATTGCAGATGACTTAAACCAAAAAGGAAAACAACTCCAAAAGATTGAGAAAATGGAGTGTTTAAAAACTGAGTTGGGATCCTATTTCTTCGAGACGTGTATTCTTGGTTCCTACCAGCATATTCACTGTGATTAATAGGTTCATATTCAATTCCACAAACTTTTACAATATCAATGGGCTGTGCTTTGTTCTCATAACATAAAGCATGGTTTGAAAATAATGCTCATATGCAGGTACCACTTCATTACATGTGTCCCTATTCACTAACATGCTATGACACACAAGTACCATCACATCTAGAGATTAGCACATACATCAAAAAATAGATGTGCACTCTACTAAAAATTTAATTTAACCACACGTAGTACGTATTGAATTGAAAACATAGTTTTCTGTATTCAAGGCAGCTCAATTGATCTAACACTCAGCTATACTAGAGAACTTCAAAAAGTGCAAATGTATCTGAAATGTTGTTATTATGTACCAAAAAGGTGCTTATTTGAGATTTATGCCCCCCCAACACACACACACACACACAAAAAACATTCTAGTATGGAATGTATATGAGATTACACAATACCTTCCATACTCATCAACAAGCATGCCTTCCATCTCCCTAATAGGATCATCTACAGAGCGTTCAGCTCGAGATGGTCGCCTCAGCAGAAAACCTGTGTTAGCATCATCATTTGGCACCTCAATATCATCCATGTATCTTCGAAGTATGCCTTCTGGCATAATCTTTCTCTCAAGCCATAACCGTAAAACCTATAAAGCCAGAAGATAGAAATGATTGACCATTAGGAAGTAAAATAAGAACATGTAATTAAGTCATTACTTTGAGGCACTGTCGTCGATTTTCACGAGCACCGGGTCCTGGTGGAGCAGCAGCGCCCAAGAGACGAGGTAGCGCAGCTTGAACGGTGGGAACATATGAAACGCCAGCAACACCTAAACGTTTCAGAATTCAGATAAATTACTACACATTAGCTTGTTAAGAACAAATAATTCTGAGGATAGCACATTACCTTTCTGAGAGTGAGAACACTGAGTTATGGAGTCTATAAGAAAAAGGAGGTCAACTCTTCGATGCAAATTAGGCTCATTCTCTAATTTCAGCACAAGAAGCTCCACAATCTATTGGGCAAAATAGTAAGGATAAGTCAATTAACTATGAAAAAACTAGATTCATCAACACATGGATTTTGTGTGTGTGTGTGAGAGAGAGAGAGAGAGAACCTCTGCAGCGATGCCATATTTTGAGCACTCTATTGCATGACGTGTAGCACGCCCTATACTATCCTTTGTCCTTGAAAGCGTCTCTATCATACCCTCCAGAGCATCACGTGCAATCGCTGCATCTGTTCCACCACTCAATGAATCGCTCGATTGCCTAGTTTTGGGGCTCTTTCCATGTTCATGCTCAATTTCCAGTAGATTTTTCATAGCAACTTGTTGACCAGGTTCAGTAATAGCACAAAAGGAGTCCGGAAACTGCATGCCATCACTCTCTGGAATAATTCTAGATGCAGATGGAATGTGAAAAACAGGACCAGGGCTTAGTCCAGGCAAGCCATATGGTGTGGAGGAAAGAACAGTATTATCAGCAGATAACCCATCAGACTTTCCTTGAGCAGCCGCAATAAGATTCCTTCTTGCTTGAGCAGCTGCAATGAGATGCTTCATTGACTTGACAGGATCAGAATTAGGTTCAGCAAAAGCTGCTTTATCAACAAAATCTGATCTGCATTAGATAAAATAAATCATTAAACAAAGAGTTAAAATGTTACAAAAAAAGGGTGCTTCCTTGGTTTAAAGAAATATACCTTTGCTCTTTGGAGTGGTCCATCTTCCCAATCCGTTCAGCTTGCATAGCGGTACTTATCCGACCCTCAACAGTTGCAGTTATCTGTGTGCCAGATTTAGTCTTAGCCTTACTGTTTTCCGATTTAGACAACAGTGCATTCTTTTCCGAGTCATCAGGGTTTTGAGAGTGCAAGTTCCCCGGTGTCTGGTGCAATAGTTTAGAAGAACTTCCTTGTGTTTTCTTCACTTCAGAGGATGCTGCCATTCTTAATTGCCCAGAGGATCTGCGATCTGCCAGGTTAGTTTTGTTACCCAGACTAGCAGAAGTGTCAACCGAGCTTGTGGTTGACCTTTTCCCCATTATCTGTAGTCTACCATGCATTTTGTCTTGATTTGGTGAAGTATAATCTGGCTCATGCTCCACAGGTGACCTCCCAATGCTTTTAGGTTTCTCTTCTCTTGCCACACCAAATTTCATTGCAGAAGCATTGCCAATTTGGGATGAAGAAATCCCACGAACCCCTGTCTGTGATTGGAACTTCTCTGTGGGGACTCCACGCATGGGGATGGATTTAACAGAAGATTTATGAGGAGGTGTCCGTTGTTCTTCCTCGTCATCATCACCAAAGCGGCATGCTCTTCTCCTGGGCTTTGCCAATGGCTTACCAACACGCGAGAAATTCTCCTTCAAGCTGGAGACTTTTTTAGCAGTATCAACAGCGCTTAACTGAGTTGAACCAGATGCTGGTTCTGATCCCTGAGAGTGCAGCCTTGCTAGGGGTGATAAAAGACTACCTGATCTTCGGGTCCAATCATCACCCACTCCAATCTTAGGAACCGAGTTACTTACAGCTTCTGCAGGAATAGATTTTTCAATTTTCAAGGCACTATCTTTTTCATTATCAGCATGTAAGCTGGTCTCGCTCTTTGCTTCTGTCTTAACTGTTTCATTGGCCCTGTCCATCAATTTTGGCCTCTTTGCTGGACGCATATCAGTGCTATTGTCCAGCTTGCGCTGCTCGCTACCAGGGAGAGGTTTCTTATTGGAAGAGAAGACTGAAGATGATTTCCTAGCCAACAGCTTGTCAGATTTGTCTACCATTATTCGTTTATGGTCTATTTTCTCTGATTCATTGGAAACTGATTGTTTCATCATCAATTTAGACTTTTTAAAACCCTTGCTATCCTTCTCGGCACTCCTTTTAAGTTCGGTGTCAAGTACAGCTCCTGGTGTAGTCCTCCCTGAAATATCAGCAACATTAACACGTTTGTTGTCCTTTCTTTCAGCATTCTTTGACTGTTTCGCGGCTTTAGATTTCTTGGGTACTTCAAGGGCGCACACTATTTGTACAGTGGGGTCCAAGGTCAAGAATTCTGATGGATTGATCTCCTTTTCAGCTTTTGGTTCTTCAAGCTCTCTTTCTGCATGGACAGTGGTTGCTGAACAGTCTTGTTCAAGGTGCATATTGATGGCTGACTTAGAAGTCACCGGTTTCTTTTTCTTGGGTTGATCAAGATCCTTAGGCTTTTTCCTTTTAACAGCTGCCAGAGAGGAATCCCTTATGTCACAAGAACCATCTTTTATGTCCACCTCAGTCCCTGAACCTAACCCTGATGTATTTAAGTTGTCACTAGGACTATCACCTTCCATTTGCCCCGATCTTGGAGCCTCATCATTATTGGGTGACTTTACAAGGTGCTCTGTAGGTTGTTCACTTTGATCATCAGGCAACATACAGGTCGTAGTTTCAGATGATTTTGGCAGATCATCATAGGCCTTGCAGATCTCCACGACAGCTTCAGCAAAACTGTCGATATACTTTTTGGGGCACTGCTTGTTCCGAGATCGATCCATCACCTCACTCTTTGCATTCTCAGTAAACGGCTGAAGATCTGGCAAAGCGATGTGAGCGCTGCACAATGATACCTATTCATTAGAAATCATGTGATGCTAGTACTTAAGGATGCAAAGAAGATAGATTTGTCATAGTAAGCTCAGCACAAAAAAGAAGGGAAGAGGGGAAAAGGCAACAAAGCAACATCAAGTCTAGTGGAAATGATATAGGATTTAACAGGCAAACAAACATGGCGTTACAGAAGAGATTTACGACAGGCTCGAGCCGAAAACAAGAATAAAATCAATTATTATTTTAGAAAGGCCTTAGAAGTGGGTCTGTGGTATTGCAAGGTTACATGGATAAAAGAAAAGACTTAATCGTAATTCAATACAAGCAAAGAGACTTCGGAAATCAATTCCTGCTTCCTAATAGTAAATGTTTCTTTCATCTCTCTGTGTAGTTTAAAAAAACTATACCTCCTAGACAGACCATGGAATCAAATGAGCAACAATCACATGATCTGCACGTATATACATCAATGGGTAGACTCGGTATAGATCGAGAATAGAACATCTATTACCTAACCACCTATGCAGAAATTGTCACCTGAAACCCCACAGGCTAAAGAGGTAGAATTGAAAAACGCAAGCTATGCAGTGAAATCTGTTATTGAATCAGAAATCAAATGATTATTCCAATTACTTATCATTATGAACAAGCACAGAAATCGAATGGTTATTTCAACTACTTATCATTATGAACAAGTATAGCAGGTCGGAACCTTAAATTCAACTTGTCTAAATCTCTCCTCTATTGGATGAGCAGATATGTAAAATATATCTTGCCCAAAATAAATAGCATGATTTCCGAACGCCATGCACGGGACCAAGGTACAATAAGCACAAACCTAAGTTACCCACACGTGTGTCAGAAAGGGTGTTCTCCCTGCTGTTCAGGAGTTGTAATGAAGGTATAAAATTGAAGCTGAGATAACAAAGCAGGAATAAGTCTATATATTGAGGTTTTAGTTTGTCCTGACTCTCGAACGTGATCTGAAATGTCTTTTTTTTCCTTCCCTTTTTGGCGGCAAGACGACAACATTATAAGGAATTGCATGCTAAACATGATACAATCTACACACGTGTATTATGCGTTGCATCCATGCTAAGAGCAATCCCTGAGTGAAACAAAGAAAGGCAGCGAGTGCTAGATTTAGGTAGGGTTATTCCTTACTAAACAGTTGGAGTGAGTGTTTCATTTAATCGGCGAATCGCATGGCATTTATGTCATCTAAGATAGGAATAATGATGATGATAATAATAGCGGGCGGAAAGCGGGATATGTAATGTAACAGGTGGGAGAGTTGAAGAAACTAACATCTCTCTGGTACCGAAGAAGACAACAAAGACCTTGCGCGGAACCGGCATCTGGTCCCAGTCCTCCGGCTTGCTGACCTGCGGAGACAAGCAAACAGTAATCAGGGAGGAAAGGAAGGGAAGGGAAATATACATGATAGAGGAACCCTAGGAGGAGAGGAGAGGAGGGACCTTGGCCGGCCATGGGGGGTAGCCCTTGACCTTGGCGAGGACGAGGTCGCCGAGCTGCGGCTGTGTGGTCCACTTGTGGGCCTTGGCGCCCCGCCTACCGGCGGGAGCCATTCCCAGGCTAGGTCTCCCCCAGGGCGGGAGAGGGCAAGGAAACCAAACCCTAAAAGAGAAGGAAGGAAGGAAACCCTAGCGCCGCACGCGCGGAGCAAAGGAAGGAGAAGGCGCGCGAGGGTGGAACCCTAGGGAATCCGGCGGCGGAGGCGGAGGCGGAGGGCAGATTGGATTGCGGCTTTTCTTCCTCCTCAATCCATCTCCATCTCCATCTCCATCTCTTGCTGCTGCTGCATCTGCAAATCTGCAATCCTTTCCCTTGTCTACTACTCTCTACTTCTCCTCACCACTCTTGTGCCTCCTCCCTCCCCTCCCAAATAAAAAGGGACAATTTTTCCTTTTCTTGCCCGCAAGTTTTTTTTTCTTTTTCTCTTTTTCCTCTTCTGTTCGTTCTTCTCTCATACTCCTCCCCCTCCCCGTTTAAACCTAGACTTAGATAGAGAGAGAAATGAACAAGGATCAGGAGGAGCACGCTGCCCGCCCCACCAGCCGTCTGATCTCATCGGGACGGACGGGACGATACCACAACATCTACTGCATACATACTCTTATATTGGCCGTGTTCAGTTGTTTTGGCAAAAAAAAAAACTGACATATATGTACACACATTTGAAGACATATATGTACACACATTTGAAGTATTAAATGTAGACTAATAACAAAACAAATTACAGATTCCATCTGTAAACTGCGAGACGAATCTACTAAGCCTAATTAATCCGTTATTAGCAAATGTTTACTGTAGCACCACATTATCAAATCATGGCGTAATTAGGCTCAAAAGATTCGTCTCGCAATTTACACGCAAACCGTGCAATTGGTTTTTTCGTCCATATTTAATGCTCAATGCAAGTGTCCAAATATTTGATGTGACGAAAAAGTTAGAAGTTTGAAGGGAACTAAACACAGCCGTTGATTGATGATATTAAAAATTGTAAACATGAATCATCACTTCAAAATACCTCAAAGTCGTATGTTGGGCTAGGCATTGACAGGAATTTTTATTTTGGATCAGATTTTTTGTTAAAAATAATCTTTGCAGTTTGAACCAGTGGCTCCATACGTCAGCCGCCATGATCTTCTTCCTCCTCATTCCTCTCCTCTCTTTGCACGACGTTGCATGCTCCCGCCTCAGCCGCGGGAAGCAAAGGACTACTTTGTGTCACTCGTAACTACTGTGTCGGAACATGTCTTGTCATTTCCTACCGTCTCCATGCGCCTTGATTGACATTTGAGAGATGGAGACATGGTTGAGAAAGAAGTATCTATTGATTGAAGTTTATCAATTCTCACAACATAATTCATGTGAAGCACAAAACAAATATTAATATCAATATCAACGTTAAATTCATATTCAACTAGAACTACTAGCCTCTTGGTCAGGCTCATGCACCAAACGATATAGAAGAGCTTTCAGTGGGGATCGTCGTGTGACTGCAAAGATGGAGGTGGTGATAGCCAACCTCAAGTATGTGTTGCCTCTGCCACCTAGTGCTCTAGCTTTGCTAGACGCCAACACTGGTGGAAAACATGTGTGCGGAGATCGAGCTTGAGAGGGGCAAGCACCAGCGGGGCTCTAGGTTGAGCAGGAAATAACGAGGGGGGAGCAAGGGGCTAGCATACTAGAGCATTGTACCGTATAGACACTGTGGCCGACAAGGAGTCATGGTGGAGAAGAAAGAGTTGGAGATACTAGGAGGATAAGTCAATCCAAGTGCAACACAAAGCAATATTACTTTTCCTAAAGTGAAAACACAAGCTACCTAAACGTAGGTAACTATATGTAGCCCAAAGGTGCAATTTACTCTTTCTTTTAAAGATATATGACATGATGAGCCATCGTCCAAATTAAACTATATTGTTTTACACCATATGTTTGTCTTAAGCTAAAACTTCACAAAGTGCTCAGTTCTACATATCAAGCTGTTTGTGTAGGAGTATTATTTTCCTACGCGATGGGTTATTTTCTTTGTCGTTTATGGGAGTGTATTAGCACAATGATATATGAGTTTCCTTATTAGACACGGCAACATATCATAGAATGTTGTACTCTCATATTCTCTTCTGATTACACGTAAGATACGTTATATTATTAAAGTTTTATGTTGCGCGAGTTCCTTGAAAAATTCTATTTTGGTTCGTGCCTTCTCATGGAGCACTCAAAATCTATTAGGCCTAAGCCTGGGTTTACTATTTTCCACGTTAAAGTTTCTCCATTTAGACTAGCTTATATGTGTGTGGCGTTATTCGATTGTTTTATGTTTGTTCTTATTATTCGAGGTAGGTTAATCATTTCCAATCGTGGTTCGTGCCTTCTCATGGAGTGCTCAAAATTTATTAGGCCTAAGCTTGGGTTTACTATTTTCCACATTAAAGTTTCTCCATTTAGACTAGCTTATTCATGTGTGGCGTTATTCGATTGTTATATGTTTGTTCTTATTATTTAAGATAGGCTAATCATTTCCAATCGCACTTTAATAACATGCTACCTCTATCCTTAAACTGATCCTGTTTTTAAAATATTTAGATTTGTAGTCCCTTCTCTCTACTCCATAAGCGGGGATAGAGAAACGTCGAGGATGGAAAAAATGTAGCCCCATGGTAGTTGGCGGGGGTGAGGACGGACGGTGAATTTTTAGCACAACGTGGATGGAGACGTGGAGATGACTTCTGACGGAGGTTTTCTCGTTACCATCTCTACCCGCTTCATATGATTATTACTACATAGGTGATGTGGGGATCAATGGCAATCATCTAGATGAAGATCGGGCCTGCACTGGAGGCAACATTGGGACCCGTATACCCTAATTTATTATTATTATTTTTTGTCCATTCCTCTTATCTCAGTTTTTGTTGAGAAAAAAAGAAAGAAAAGAAAAGGAAAGAAAAGAGGAAGGAAAGAGAGAAAAAAAAGGCTGCAGCAGCAAGGGCAACAGAGGAGCCGTGGAGGTGGCAGGCGCTGCCGGCCGCGAAGAGAGGAAGCAACAATGGCCTCTCCGCCTCCGCCGTTAGGGTCAGAGACGGCGATCTCCCCGGCGTACGGCGAGGAGGAGGAGGAGGAGGAGGAGGAGCAGTGCCGCATCTGCCGCGTCCCTGCGGAGGCGGGGCGCCCCCTGCGGCACCCCTGCGCCTGCCGTGGGTCCATCCGCTTCGTCCACGACGACTGCCTCCTCCGATGGCTCGCCACCCGCCGCACCTCCCACTGCGAGGTTTGCAAGCGCCTCATCTCCACCTGCCCTCTCTACGCCGCGAATGCTCCTGCAAGGCTCCCCTTGTCCGAGTTCATGCTCGGCCTCGCCAACAAGCTCATGGGCTGGTTCTTCCTCCTCCTCTCCCTCCTCGCCGCCATGTACATCTGGGAATTCGTCATGCCCTTCACCACCCTCTGGATATGGCGCCTCGCTCTTGCTAGGAGCTTTGCTCGGGTGCGCCACCTGCTCTCCCTCCGGATCTTCGCTCATGCTCATGGACATGGCGCCCCCCTCTATGGCCTTATGCCTTCTCCCGACGCCGTCTTCGCCTGTGTTTCTATCAGAAGAGCCTTTCTCCGGGACCTCCCCCACTTCAGGGACCTCAATCCCCTTGCCAGATTTGCTGCCCATGCTCTTGCTCCCTTTGCACTCTGGATTGCTCGCCTGGAAACTCGTCTCGACCGAAGGTTTGGAGGCTTGGATAGTTTGCAAGTCATTGCGCTACATACCGTTGAAGCTTCCTTGATGGTATATACTATATCTCTTACTTATATACTCCACTTCCTTCCATTAATTCCATCTCATCTCATCTCACTATATGTAGTTATATATGCTCGTTTCTTATTATAAGCTAATATAGCAGTCAAACACCTATGCTGTTTTAAATCTATTCTGAAACTACAATTTATTACCACACCTACCTATACCATGTTTTTTTTGCTGATTTTCCAAAGCTTATGGACCAGGGTATTGCCAGGAATAGCAGTCATGATTATTCTTATGGGTTTTTCTGTCCTAGTGTATGGGATGGTGCTCACTTCTTTTTCACACTGCAGTAGATCATGAGGCTGTCCATCTGATTGGCTATATACACCGGTGGTACTGTATAGGTGTAGGATTTCTTCAGGTTATGATACCAAGCATACCTAAGCTTGTTATTTTAGGTCCTTTTTTAGTTGTTTTGCTATTGAAGTTGTTCTAATTCTATGCTGGCTTTACCTATGGTTTAATGAATTCTTCCCTTTCTTTCTTTACTTATTTCCTGAAAAATTCTAACAATATGTTGTCTTACTCTTATCAGGTGGTACTTCTTGATGTGATGCTTGCTTGTGTTTTTGGTTTTATCCCCTTCTCACTGGGGCGGATAATCCTATTCTGCACATCGTGCTTCAGTTTTGGAAATATGGATAGAGTCCACTCCTACACTTCAACATCTTCTATCCTTTTAGTTGGATATGGATTTATCTTTTCACTGGGTGTACTTTTCACTGGGTTTCATACTTTCGACCAGTACTCGAGGGGAGAACACCTCACAATTGCAGTTTTCTTCAAGGTCTTGACCAATGGAATGTACAGACTATTCAGCCCTCTTAGAAGGTTGCCTGGTATACATGTAATGGTCCAGATGGCATTGTCTTTCTTGCGACTGTTCTTCAGAGGGATCATAAATCTAGTCACCGTTGCCAATATTTCAGTTAATCTCATTAATGTGATTGCAATATGGCCGTTGTTCTTTGGCTGGTCAGTTGATATCTGTGCTTCACAATTGTTTGGTGAAACAATATATCAGAAGCTTGAACTTCTATTTGCCTCATCTTTTGCTTCTACTGCTCTTCATTGGCTCATTGGATGCATCTATTTGATGTTACTCTCAATATTTTCCAGTCCTCTTTGTCTGGTATCTATCATCTCACCATCTCAATTAGCACGTGCGGTATCTATGATCCAAAACTATTAGTAGCAAGTGATGTCTTATTTTTTTCTATTATTAGGTATTGGGTCCAGGAGTTACTATTCCCTTTGTCCACTTTTCTGGAGAAGAAAGCTTGATACAGCTCTTCCGCGAACCATTCTACAAATTTTCTTTAAAGCTGCTACCTGGTCTTTTTGTCAGTGCTGTAGATGTTGCTATGGTCATTCTTGTTCCTGTTCAAATTGCTGGCCAATTGGCACCTAAGGTGTTCCCATTAGATATAACGTAAGCATTCCACTCATGTGCTTCGTTACAAGATGTATCTGCCAGTCTTGGGCAATTCTCCACATTTATTTTAATATCTTGAATTGCAGCTACTTTGATCCTCCTACTAAGGGATCAGCATTTTGGCAAGCACCACGGAACTATGCAGAGTTACTTTCTGGTGCCCTTCTTCTGAGGTTTCTCATCTGCAATACACTCAAATACCTTCAGCCTGGTCCACTATTGCAGAAGTTACTGCTGTATTGGTCTGCCACCACTAGACGTGTTCTTGGTCTGCTTGATTTATTGATTGCCTGGTCTGCTGGAGATGGTGAATGCGAGGATGGAAATGGTTCCACACGAAAATTCCACCATGGTAGCACTTCTGAAGATGAGTACAAAAGGTAACACTACTGGCACCACCATGACACTCAATGCTCTCTCTCTCTCCTACTCTCTTCCTCTCTCCAAATTTGTGGCTTGATATAGGTTAGTGCCTGTATGCTTGCTCATTCAGGAATTTTCCATTTAGCCTGATTGCATTCACTTCCATTTCAATCAGATTCGCCTATTCGCGTACACCCTCCATTTTCATTAAGTGCACATAACTAGGCAATGGTTCTTTTGTGGGAGTGAACAAAAGTATCCTCCAATATATGTCGAGCACGTAAAATGTGGTAAAGTTTATCTAGGAGTTGTAAGCATGCTAAGTATTTAGAAACAATATTTCAGTCAAGACTCAATAGTGCAAGTATTTAGAAACATAGGGAGTATAATACTCACAGTGTGCGTATATACTCAACCCTAAAATAATTGTATGATAGTTTTATAATGTATATCCTAAATCCATTTGCATTTTAAATCAACATCGATGGTGGCATATTTAAGTTACATTGTTCTAGCTGCAGTATCTAATTTAAACTAAGACCTTTCCAAGGATCCAAATTGAAAATATCTATGATGCGATTTATCTGCATATTATGCATTCACCTATTTCGTGAAATATTGCAAGCATCATTGCCAGTTCTTTTAGATTTCCTGGTCAGAATCTTACTCATTCTGCACTATTCCATGACAAACAGGGAGACATGGACTTTAACTGAAGTTAAGCAATATAAGCATGGTCGGGATATTTTTTGTTACTTTCTGCAGTTGGTTTCTTATTGTTCACTGTGTGCTTAGAGGTACACTGCACATAACTAGGTTTCACGATATCAATAAGTACAGTTTTTAGAGGTACCAAGTAGGCAGGGGTGAAGACAGGGAGAGGCGGAGGGAGTCCTGGCCTCTCCCAATGATGCATTATCTGTTTATGACCTGCTAATTATCTCTCTAATTACGTGATTAGTTGAAGCACTTTGGTGTAGGCATTCAAGCTTTCAACACTAACTGTGTTTGCATGCCTAAACAAACTAGGAGATATACGCCTTTTTCCATGATAATTAGTTGATTACTGCATCCTGCACTTTGGGTAGATGGTTTTTGCATGCTCCTACACCAAGCTAATACATGGAAATGCAATGGCATTAATTTAAACGGCTTGGCTGTTCTAATGCCCTCATATCGTTGTTAACTGCTAATATCTATTTCTACATTAGCCTCAATTCATTTACCTCTTCACTTTAATTTAGAATACTAAAATATTTAAAAATAATATATGCAGCCAATTATAAATAATAGTCACGGAAATATTCTTTTGCTATCCACATAAAATACTTTTATTTTACATGTATTGTGATGCAATTTTTTATGGTTCGATCATTTTCACTCAATATATAGCTCAAATTGACCCCCCCCTCAAGAGCAAATCCTGGCTTCGCCACTGCACGAAGGGTATCTTAGTTATATTCATCTTTTTGTTCTATGGGTGAAAAAAATATGCCCTATAAAAGTGAATCGAGGTACAGATTTAATAAAGAGAAAGGAATCTATGATTGGAATGTTAAAAGGAGATATGGTGCTTTTATTTTTCTCAAGAGGCCATGCTACATCTTACACTCTCTTATCGAGCATACATTATATGTGCTTCTCTTTCTTCTTGCGAACATAATAAGCTTCTTATTTTTTTCGATAGCTCGCTCTTGACAGTTCATCTTACTATGTTGCTGGTAAGGCTTAGATTTCTAATATGATTTGTTTATTTCTATTTTGAATTTCTTTCTTGAAAAATTAATTATACCCTGTTTCCTTAGTATTCTTGCAGCCTGGTGGGTGGTGGGTAGTCAGTAGTGTTGGCATGTGTTCCATTTGCTCCATTTTGCCTTTAAAGGGATAATCCATCTCAGTACCTCTCGCCAAAGTATGCGTCTCATCATAGGACGTTTATACTTTTTTTGTTCTATGTAGTGTGTATTTATTCAGCGGTAACATTTTGACAGTCTGACCATTCTTTTGGTTGAATTGACAGTCTGATCCTTCATTACTAAAGATAATCATTTGCAGTTTTCAGTTGGCATGCAGATCAAATAGATATCAAAGAAAGAGTAAATTGCACTGTTGGCCTCTAATTCTCTATGCTTGCATAAGTCCCAGAGCTATTGATCGCTAAACCTGCACAGGTCCCAGAAGTAGAAAGTTGCATATCTTATCCTTGAACTCGTAAAACTGAATTAACTAATATTAAAATAAGGTTTTGCTGTCTGACTTGTTAGCTTGCTATTCTCGGCTGCCTGGCTACTATTTTACCATTCAAATAATAGTTCTCTTTTTTCGTTGGCAAACCAAGAGAGCTTGACCGAAAACATAAATGTTACTTTTTTTGCACTCTGTACCAGGAGATTTGCTGCGGTTCGCCTGATTCTACTTGTAGTGCTCTCATCGTCAACTCTTGTGATATTCAATTCTGCTGTGCTTATTGTCCCAGTCTCTATTGGCCGTGCATTGTTGTTTGTCATCCCTAAGTTGCCAATAGCAGGTGGATTGAAGTACAATGGTAATGCCTGTTCACAGATGATCATATGACTTCCTTCTGTTAATCAAGTAAATATTTGTTGTCAACTTACAAAATGTTTTCTCTTAGATCTGTTTGCTTTTGCCATTGGATTTTGCATCATATCAACTATCATTGCCGCCTCTCGAGATTTATTTGTCTACATGGCTTCTGGGAGAACACACCTTCTGGCTTCCGTTATCTACAAGTGGGGTATAACTGCTTTGAAGGGTTCTCCACTGCTGTTCATATGGGTGAGCAGTCTATTTGAGGTGGTTCCTTTGTATTTCCTGATTATGCCTCATGGTTCATTGACTTAAATCTCTCTGCTGTCAGATTGTCATAATCCCCCTTCTGATTGGTCTGCTGGTTAATTTTCTACTTATATCACCCTTCCTCGTGACTGCCAATGGCATGTTCGTTATCGACCTCTTCTGTACTTGGTTCCTAGGGCTGCTACTGCTGAAGTTCTGGGTGAAGTTGGTAAGTTTGAAAATTTGTTTTGCTCTCCTGGCCTTATAGCTTATTATATTGCTTTCCTCTATGCACCTATTTCAGCGAAATCATATCAACTATTTTTTTTGGGTCCATTTGCAAAATCCCGCCTTTGCTTGATGCCGCACCAAATTACAAAAACAATATTAGTATAATTTAGTCTATCTCGCTTCAAAAGGTTTGTTTGCAGCTCACTTTGGGCCACATTTTATTACCGATGTTTCGCTTTGGACTACCCTTTACCTGATGTTTTCACTTTAGATTGGGTAATATTACCTTTGTGGCACTTTGGACCACCGCTAACTCTTTTACCCATCTGCATCCAACTTGTCATATGTCAAAGAAATGTTCTACATACAACTGTAGAAGTTCATTGATGAGTAGGAGCCGGCATACTTGAAATCATTCATATGCTTGAGTAGAGAGTTGTGGTGGTTCAAAGTGCATCAAAGGTAAAATTACCCGGTCCAAAGTGAAAACATTGGTTAAAGGGTGGTACAAAGCGAAACTTCGGTGATAAAAGGTGACCCAAAGTGAAATTTACCCTTATTATTATTTTTGGGTTGTTTAGTTCCATGCCACCATAAGGTTCTTAATTCTTGGATATGCCACTTCCAAGTTCTGGCTTTGACATATGTCACTACTAAGTAGTAGGTGAATTGGAAATATGTCATGGTTATAAATCATTCTGTATGCAATATAAGCAGACATTAACAATATCGATATGTCAATAACCCTTTCATTCAACTTACTCTAGCCCATCCTTATTCTGACATCATCCCAACATATAATTACATTATTGTCAATATTTCATCCCTACTGTCAATATTGTCTGCATTATTTGTTGAGTTTTAGTTCATTTCATAATGAGGTTCATTTTGTGGAGAAAAGTAACTAGGTGGGTTTTTATTATTATAGGTTCATTGGACAACGGTCACACCTTTCCTGGTGTATTTCATTGATGAAAGGTGGGACTGGAAGCTTACTCGGGCAAGAGAGGACGGGTTTTCGGGGCTGAGGGCATTGTGGGTCTTACAAGATGTATTGATGCCTATCACCTTGAAGCTTCTGACTGCTCTCTGTGTCCCATATGCGCTTGCGAAGGGTGTCTTCCCAAACTTTGGCTACCCTGATGCTGTGAACTTAACAGTATACCGTTTTGCATGGTTAGGCGGCTTTGCCTTGTGTGTGCTGTATGATCTAGCCAAGGTATTCTGCAAGGTCCTGGTTAAACTCCATGATTCTATCAGGGACGAGCGCTATCTTATTGGGCAGAGGTTGCAAAACTACGTTGACAATAGCTGAAGACCGTTTGTTTCTTTTTGAGGCAACAGAACACCGTTTCTCGTAGTAGTTAATACACCGTTTAAACGATCGAGGATATATAGCTAATTGCCTGCAGTTCATATAGGATATATATATATATATGTTTAGTGACTGATATTAACAGTAGTTGAAAATGATGGAAATATCTTGGTGGTATTACCGTCAACAAGAACACGCTGAGATCCCAGAAAGATTTTCCGCTGACGGAAATTGTAAATATGGATGCAATCTTCTATGAGAATTTGCATTTTTATTTCTTTCAGTTTCACCACCCATTAATATGCATGCTTATGAAGCTATATCAATAGGCATCTTGTCTAATCTTCTATAAACTTACTCATACTAAAAGAGCGTCTTACGGTATGAAACAGGGAGGGAAAATGGAGTAGAAAAGAAAGCTCCGTTCAATTTTGTTTGATGTTATCAGCAGTTAATTAATTACACGAAGCGTAAGATATGCGACCTTGACAACCACGTGGGCTACTCTCTAAATGAAAATATTAATACTCTGTAGAAAACAAACTAAAATTGCATAGTACTAATACATCTACAATATCATATTAATTTTATTAAATCTAACATCAAATAAATATAATACATTCTCATAGTATGTTTGTTTTGTACTGAAAATATTGCTATGTTTTTCTTTTATAAATTTGATCAAATTTAAAGAAATTTGACTGAGAAATACCAGAAAATGAGTCGTGCATGTTCGATTCGATGGTGGAAAGCTATAAGCACAGATACTGAGATACATCCAATAGATCATCACAGATCATTGATGCAGATGACACACAGGAAGCAGAGCAGTAGTACTATTGTTGTTGCTAAACAAGAAGCAGAGGGGTAGAGGAAAACTTGTTGTTGCTACAGCCTACAGGTAGAGGAAAACAAGAAGCAGAGGTAGAGGTGTAGCTGCGGCTGATGATCTCATCTGGAGCAGCCCTGCCCTCGATCTTCTTGCTTGGGCATCATGTCTCCCTGAATAATTTCCTTAAGCCAGCATGAATGCATGCACATGTGGCAGGAACATCTTCCATCGAGCTAGAATCCAGCTGCTGACCAAAGCAGACATAAATAAAGGCACGCACAAGAAGGAAAAAAATGGCTGCAAATTAAGTATATATATATAGAGCTCATGTATACTATGATGCACTCACTGTTTGTCTGCCTCTGCCTGGTAATCAAGTTAGATTACGCCAAGCACGCCAAGCCACCGTCTTCTTAGCTTGCCGCCTCACTTGTCCTCTTGTCCTCCTCCTGTGCTTTTCTCATTACCACTATCGATTTTTTCTTTTCAAGAATATCACCACTATCAACTTGCGCAATGCTTGCGAGGATGGCATTCATACCTGCAGGATTAAACATCGATTTGTGACACGAATTATTCTGTTCAATCATACCATAACGCAAGCGGCACATAAAAGACAAATACAGTATATCTGTCACCTTACCGATCTGCCAGAACGAAATTGAATCCAAGTTTGTCTTGGAGGCTTGTCGGACCAAGATTGGTCCAATGCAACTTCAGCCATTCCCTGAGATCTCCTCCGTTTCACTGTAATATGGTAGGGTATGTTATAGATCTGATGCAGTTGCCTGTGCACATCAACTTTGCAAGAGGACAATACACAAAAAATATTAATTAAGCATTACTTTCACCTAGCTAGCTAAGTTTTTTTTTGGCTATTTTGAACTCCCAAGTTTGTAAGCTCTGTTTTTCTACCAAGGATGAGTACACAGGGGGCCCAAGATGAAGCAACAAATTGCATTGGAAGAGCATAATACATTACAAGAATAACGGGGGTTACTTGTCACCTGTTGGGTTACTTATGCCATATATCACCTGCAGGCACTACTAGTAACTCTCACTTCACACAATTTTTCAGGAATTAAATAAATATCTCTCTACTATTTACTAAAAGAGGCTTGGAGTTCCCAAACTCAGCCCTAGCTACATACCTTCCCATCTTTACAAGAAAGCTAGCAGAAATTACCTTACCTGCAGGCATACCTCAAGTGAAACATAGCTTAACTATGAGGATACCCACGAATTACATAAGTTAGCAAGCAAGCATGTGCCAAGTCATTCCAAACGTGCCCCGCTCAACTTAGCTGAACTAATGCATCACCCAGTAGTTATCCCATGCTCCACTTGATCACCCCCCTCTCTACTTTTCATATTAAAATCAACTGATTAGCCGTTAATATACATGATCAACTATAAAACAAGATCCATAACTATGTAACGTCATAGCCACCCAGCCTCGCTTGTTTATAATGGTGCATCCATCTCCATCACCACAACAGAAGTTATTACTTTACCTTTCACATCCGTCCATCCTCACTATCATTAGTACTACTGGTTCTTCTAGTAACAGCATACATTCATTTTCCTCCCATAGTTGCTGTAGACGCCAAAGCTCACATATACAGGGAGAGATAAATCCATCAATCAACAGATATACACATGGATCCCAAAGTTGTTGTTGCTCTCGCTCTGTCCCTTATTGGTGGCCTTAGCACCTCTCTTGGTATGCATATATGCACTTCCCATCACTCATTTTTCTTAGCTGTATGCACAGCCATGCAATTTTGTACCTCAATTGGACTTTTATGGTATTTTCTCTTGAATTATTTTGGGATCAATTTTGTAGTAATTGAATGAGTATGTTATACCTCTCGATAGCCATCACCTTCCTACTCCCGTAATAGCTGTGTACTATTTCATCAGGTGCATTGCTGGCTATACTAAACTGTGCCCCAAACAACAAAACACTCGGGATGTTACAGGTAGAGTACAGCTATGTATTATGTATTACGGTCAAACAACACCAGTTCATATTTGCACTATGGGCAAGCTCATAAAACAACATAAGCTCATCTTTGCACAAATCTAACATTTTTACATACTGTTTTTTAGGGTTTTGCTACTGGGCTCATGTTAAGCATGTCTTTCTTTGACTTGGCTTATGATGCTGTCAACGCGATTGGTTTTCTAAAAGGAAACCTTTGGGTGAGAGTAACCAATAAAAAGTCAAGGAACTGTAACCTCTTCTTGTCTAATTAGCTTATGCATTGCAGTTTTTTGCTGGGGCACTCCTGTTTTCCACTATTGCTGAGGTTTTCCCTGAACCAGATTGCAATTTAGCAGATGAGAATGACAAACATGTATAACCTCTCAACTTAGTTCGCTAGCCAATTTCAGTTAGCCTTGGCTCAGAAACTAATATAGGATTCACCATTCTATTTTTTAGTTGGAAAATAAGACTGGTAATAACAACATAGCAGGGAAGGAACTTATGATGAGACACCGCCGAAGAGTAATCTTTAGTGTCGTTGTCACAGCAATAGGTAAGTCCAAAATGTACCTTATGTATTTTAATAGCTTGATAAAGAATATGCTATAATAAACTAATTGTACATTTATTGTTGATGCCATCCTAGCAAACTATGAATTGATTGCATCAACACTTTGACACATTTATATACAGCCAACCTTGTGAGTCACAACAATTTATAGCATGAAAGCAAATAAAATTTTAATGTTGAACCTAAATTAAGATGTATACTTATTGAACCAAGATTAAGATGTACTTATTCAATAAAATTATAATATTTAACCTACATTAAGATATACTTAATAATGATGAATATATCATAACATTTTCCAGTTTTCTAACAACACACAGATGACATATTTCTGGATTGCATTATATATATAACTAACATTTTAGTTCTGAACTCCAACATATTGACTCTTAATTATTCATAAGAGTATGATTGCTAATATTCAGCATAAAAAAATCTGTAGCTTATTGGATAAGAAAAAGAAAAAAGAGTAACATGTAGCTTTATATAAACAACAGCTCAGATTGAAGTATTGAACATCTAGAGGCAACTCAAAATTAGTAGTTTGTTTAGCCGTTAATACAGAAAATGATATTTCACAACTTGTTCAGTACAACAATTGATTTCTATTTAAATAGCTTGGATTCAAGTACACATAATTTTACACAGTGAAAGAAATGACATATAAGTAAAATATATGCATACACAACTAACTGTATGCCCTTTTCCTGCATGTTTGTTTGGTTTTAATGGTTGCACTTATGAACAAAATGTTCAATTGTTCATATCAACAGTTGCTGGTGTGAGTTTGCAAAACTTCCCTGTGGGTACTGCGGCATTTCTTGGAACCACAAAGGTATTTTTTTCTTACTGTTTTCAATATTTATAATAACTTATTCAGTGTTGTCACTATGCCCAACAAAGTTTCTCAATGATGGCCAAAGGCTTTTGAGGCATGGAAGAAAATATATAACCAAGTACAACATAATTAAACAAACAAGCTGTATATATTCATCTTTGTGTTAAGTTGAACAAACATTCAACAATTAAATAGTAAATATGGTACAAAAACTATTCATGTATGTACCTTTACAATTATATGCATTGTAGTAGATATTATTTTCCATGTACCTTTCTCATATTATCCATATTGACTACAGCCCACTCTATTTTATTGATAAGTATTTTTAGTCTCTCTAGTATTTTCATAAATGGATAGTGTGTAAAGGATACCTTGCATGCTAATGTTGACATGCATTTTATCCAGACACATGTTCATTTAGTGTATAACATCACCAATATATTTGAATATGTAACCAGAAATTGAATAGTAAAGGCTTATGATAAAGTTAATTAATCTTATCTGCTTTTCAGGGCTTCCGTGTTGGCCTTAACTTGTCTCTTGCTATAGCTCTACACTACATCCCAGAGGTAATTGACTTTGTGGCGCCTTTTGGGTGGAAGTGGGACTTGAGAATAGGTGTTGAAATTGGGAAGTGTCTTCTCACCCATCCGCCCATCCCCTCTTTTTTGCCCATGGCCACTGTAATTTTGCATTGAAGATACACAATATTATACTTTCATGAATTTGTAGAGCTAATTGCAAATGGAGTGTAATTATATTTTCTCCCACCACCCTGTTAAGACCAATTGAATACTCTAATAGTTATCGATATTTTGTTCACGTGCAGGGTATTTCAGTAGCTCTCCCTGCGTACTTTGCCACTTGCAGGTACTAGTTAATATATTTAAGTAGACCTGTTGTACTTCTGAAAAAAATAGCCCTGCAGTTCTAGTAAAATTATGTTTGTCACGTCTGATGCAGCAAATGGCAAGCCTTCAAACTAGCGACGCTATCTGGTTTTGCAGAGCCACTAGGTGTAATTATCGTAGGTAGGTTCACTGATTTAAATTATTGCACAATAATACGTGATTTGTGCACATAGATGTTACCAATTACCAAAACTAGATGTGTTCTTAAATTTTAACACTTCCATATTAACTATAACCAGAAATACTAACATTGACAGGCTGAGTTCATACACTTCATTCTATTGCCATCATTCTATGTATTCAAATAATGCATATGAAATGTAAGTTTCTTGCAGCATACCTATTCCCAAGCAACTTGAATCCTGAAATATTGGAAGGCCTACTTGGATTAGGTAACCAAATTAACAGAAATTTATTTTGAAAAATAGCTCAACTTAAGTGTTTAATAGTTTCATAAATTTTCTTTGCACAGTGGGAGGGGTCATGGCGTTTCTAACGTTATATGAAATGCTACCAATAGCATTTGAATACGCAGGACGCAAGGATGCTGTGAAGGCTGTATTTGTTGGCATGGCTTTTATGTCCATGAGGTGTGTTACAGTCTTACTACTGCGGTGAACAATTAATTTTACATAAGACACTACCAGTACCGGTTTATAATTTTTCTGTTCAATAATATGACCGCGATACTTATTTCGGCCACCCAAGATACCTACCGCACCTTGGACAGAAAAAAAATAATTTGATAGATGTTGGTCAATGTGGCTGATTTAGCAAGAAATATTTAGCAGAGATTGGTTATAACAAAATATTGCGTTCAAAATTTGGGTTATGGCATAGGGGGTGCACATTCGCTAAGGCAGGCATGAGCGCATGAGGATGGACACATATGGATTAGTTCCACATCACTTAGCAGCACTGCAGCAGTGACCAACATATAAGCCCAAGAGTACCATACCCCAGAGTTAACAATTTTAACAAGTGAAACAAGGATGAAAATACTAAGCAAAGTTGGTGTAAGTGCATGGCTTATTTGACACGGACCCTAGGTGTCACAGTAGGCCAATATGGTATGTATGTATATATGGATCAGGAGTTATTAACACAAAATTTCCAGTCAAAATCAGCAAAGTATTTAGAAATACATGGTGTATAAGATCTTAAATTCAATGAACTGTTTTTGGAAGATTGTAATATAATGTAATGAATGTTATTATATCATGAGCCTACTTCAAGAATGGGCAACAACTATCAGAAGAGGACATGCAACATGGCTTGAGGGAGAAAGATCAAAGAGAACAAAGGGACGGGGCTTAGTGGAGAGGAATAAGCTAGATTATGAACTTTTTAATTCATTATTATTACTTGCACACTCAGAGGGAGATGATAAACCTCCTTTATATAGAGCATATCAATGACAAATCAAAGCTGGAGATAGGGAGTCTCCATTGATAGACTTTATTGTTATCCCCCAAGCATAACTTTATAAGGAAACAGCTAATTTTCAAATAATTTAAACCCTCAGCTTAGGCAGCCATGGAAGCTAGCTGCCTAGCTCAGCATTCTTGCTTGGCCCTCTGCTGTCTCCTTGCATTGCATCTAGATGATTGGAAAGCTTCATGGGCATGGCTACATCTGCTATGAGCCTCAAGGTCTCATGGATTCGTCCATGAATTTCCCTGCAGCTTTGTGACAATTATATCAGCTGTATTTCCTTAATGTGATTACAGCATATAAATATTGATAAATGTCTACATTTCCAATTTATAGCTCACTTGTATTTTGCAGCTTGCACTTCCTAGATATTAGTCTTCCAAAGGAGATGGGTGCATAACATTTGAGTTGAATTCTGATGTGGACAAGAGTATTTCATCATGGACTTTGCGCTAAGGTATCTCACCTTTTCTTGGAATTACTATTGCTGCAGAGGATGTATATTTAAGTTTCATTGGTCCTTTTTTAAAAAAATGATTTCAAATTTACTAGAAAGAAACAAGTATATTTTGACCTGACAGTGACTGCCATTTAAACTTAACTTCTTTCATTTATAAAGCATCAGTAAGGTTCTGCATTAATTATTTTATGCATCTTCTTGCCAATCAAGACAATAGGAGGGGAAGACAAATTAATCATTTTGCCTCTATATTCCATCACAGAATTGCCAAGCCAACATAACCAAACTGGAGCATCGCATTTAATGATGTTGGTTGGAAAGACATACCTACTGAAGGTTTTAACTTTTAAGCAGTAGTAGACAGTAGAAATTTGAACAAGGAACCTCATCAATGTTCTCCCCAGGTGCATGTTTCTAGGAAATTTACTATCAGAAAACAAGATAAGTAGGTGACCAACACATCTGTAAATAGTGGATGAGACTGTAATTCATTGAAAAAGGAGAAAAATACTACTCAATGATGTAAATAAATTAATTGTCATGTGATGAATCATATGATTCTATCCTTTACAAAAATATATTTGTGCCTCATGGCACTTCGGCAGTCGGCAGCCTATACATTGAAGTTTATTTAACGAAAAACGGAAATCTAATGTCTTGCTATTGAGTATTAATTTAGCAACATAAACTGTATGGATTTAGGCCATACTCACGAGAAATAGAGTAATATTTAGAAGGCCGAAATTTCAAGATTAGATGACAGCTGAATCTATACTAAAAGGTTATTAGACAAACTTACAGCACCACTAAAGAACCTGTTTAGGTCATGTTAGTTCTAGAACCCATCCTAGGGTGATACATAATGGACCTAGAAAATATTCATAAGCAAAATACAGTACGAAGAATTGTTTTCACTCAATTTCAGAGGTGCAAGCAGGGATCTGGCTGATTCAGGCTTTTTGTTGATTTCTCTTTTCTTCCTTTTTTTTTCTTTCTTTAAGCTTTTTTCCCCTTAAATTCTTTTGTTACCTTATCTTGGATAAACATTACTACTAATATTACTATATGAATAAAATTTAGACATTTTCCTTAGATTGTAACTGTAAGTTCATCTGATTATGGGCCGTTTGCATCTGCAGAGAGGTTCTCAGAGAAAAAGAAAGACCTCCAGAGAATAATGTGGCTATGCCAAGCCAGTCTAACCAAAGTGGCCCTTTTGGGCTATAAGCCTATAACCCAGCGCGGCAAGATTATTTGTTTGATTCATTTTTTCAGTTGTGCCTCTTTGCAATGGAAATGATAGACCAAAGGGCTGCCGAACTATTTCTTCCTTGCCCTTTCATGTTGCCCTAAACCCTAAGATATTAACATGGCGCTAGTGAACAACAACAGTATATGAGGGATAGAAGTATCATTTCAAAATCGCTTGCCCAAACAAAAGACTCAAATCACTGAGCACCATCGCCATGGATGGGTGATGTGCCCACGGAAGGGACCATTACCTCATGTAGCCTAATGGCTGCAGTGACCTAAGTAGCATCCTAAGGTCCTGAGCTCAAATCTCCATAGGAGCGAATTTCAGATTGGGTTGTTTGAGGGGCTAAGTTCCCAATTTAAATGGCTGCATATATCCGGTTGGACGTAGAGGGCATGTAAGAAATACCCTTCTCTAAAAAAATGCCTCGTCCACGGCCAGCACATACAGTGATGCTTGCAGATTTCATGTCTCTGGCCAAACATACAGAGAGGCCAAGCCTTTCTTTTTCAGATCGGCAATCGATGGTGAGCGCACCAGGCCGAGTCGATCAACGTGATGATCGAAGTATCTAATCTACCTAGCTAATCAGTGTAACTCGGAAGTTAATCTAAGTCAGCAGATTCGGCAGTTCCAATGCAAAAAGTAGAGGCTCTAATGAAAAGAAAACATTCACATTAACCTCAACTAGGGGAGGGGAGGGATGAGGAGTACCTCATAGCTTGCATTTGAAGGTCGCGAATGCGAGGTGGCGAGCCGACTCCTCGATCCCTCCCCGTCCCGTCGATGCCGCCGCCTGCTAAGCCCCATCCACACGGTCGCCGCCGCCTCTGTCCTCCGCTCGAATTCGGAGGAAGAAGAAGGGGGAGGAGGAAGGAGAGCAAAAGAGAAGATGAAGGGAAAAACGAATAAACGAAACTCACGGGGGCAAGAAAAATGAGAATTGGGAAAATAAATGGAAAAGGAAATTAATTGCTTGTTGGTAGATTCCAATCTAGAGGTTCTCATCACTATTTTACCTCTTTCGTCACTTAAAGTTGATATTTTACCTCTAGTAAGTCATAAGCTATTTTGTTAAGAGTATCTATAGAATCTTTTATATAGGTTGAAAGCTCCCATTAATCCCGGTTATACCAATCGTAACCAACAAATCGAAACTAAAGTTTTATGTTAAAAACCTGCATTAATCCCGGTTATAAAACCGTGACCAGCAAATCGAAACTTAAGATTTTCTTTAATACCGATTGAAATAACCGGAAAGTTTTACGTTGAAAACCCGCATTAATCTCGGTTATAACAACCGTTAGCAAATCAAAACTAAAGATTTTATTTAATACCGATTGAAATAACCGGTAATACATACCAAGTCAAAGAAAAAATGTGGATGTGAGATTTGAACTCAAGACCTCTCACCTTAGCCCCCACACATGCTACCATCTCACTTACTATACACATTTGATTTAAATAGAGATGCTTTATGATATTTACTAAAATCAAATACTTCTTGGAGTATAGTCACGACACTTTTGGAAGATTGCACGCATAGAATTGCTGGTGAGAGCTTAAATGATATTGCATTGAGTTTTGCTATATGAAAAAAATAAAACATGAAGAATAAGTCTAGCGCAAATACTTGGACGTTAGGCTAGCGCTTAGCTTGTGGTGGCTCTACGTTAGCGAAAACAAACTGATCCAGTTAAGCACGCGTGCCTTGGGGTGTTTTTTTAACAAAACTAAGTACGGAATGGGCATTTGCAATAAAATGGTTTATGAGGTAAATATGAAACTTCAAGTGACTTATGAAATATTATTGTAATTTCTTTTCTTATATCTGTATCTAATAAAAAAATACCCAGAGATTCCGATTTTCTTTTGGTTTGTCGGTTTATTTTTTTATCGCCGTTTTTTAAGCGGAATGGTTTTTTTTCACCACACGTGGTAAGGGAAGTCCTTTTTTTCGACCTCGCGGTCTCCTCGCTAGCTGCCGCCGTTTTTAGGACCGATCGACGCCTCACCTGCATGCACAGGTACCTACGTAGTGTAGTGTCGGTCGCACATTCATAATAGTGTTCGGACTCATGTGCCTTCCTGATCCGCACGTGTTAGGTCTTTTTTTCCATATTTTTTACTATCTCTTATCCGATCCACACGCGCCCTGCCTCAGCCGCCGCCGGGCTGAACCCTAGCGCTGCCGCCACGTCTCTACCTCCCCGTGTGTTTCCTCCTCCAATTGATTGCAAAAATCGATTCCCCCACTCTTCCATCACCATTTCCCCCATGATTTTCTCTTTTAATTCGGCTTTAATTCGCTGAATTTAATCTCTATTTAAAAGTCACTAATGATGGGCGGTCGTCATGCTTGATTCGCTCCAATTTTGGGGAAAATGGAAACAAGAGTTCGAGTGGATCCAAAGCCCTCAACCAATTTTAGGAGATCGAGAAAGATTCGATCAAATTTGATGGGAAGGATCGGCTCCTGGATTGTACGGGCATGGGACTACCTTCCGGAGGTTGAAGGCGGCAATGTGCGAGGTGGGCCTACAACTCCACATGTGAGCTGGGTCGAAGAGAGGCAGGCCGAGCGGAGGGAGGTAGCGGACTGGGCTGGGACTAAAAAGGAAGAAAGGAATGGGCTAATATATAGCGATTTCAATGTTTTAGTTTATTGTTCAACTCTTAATAGCTGAAAAACCGTCTTTACCTGTTGCATCACCCGGACATTTTTTCTAGTATATATAAAAGGTTAAGCAATAAGTTATGGGAAAATTGCTCATTTGATCATGTTTTGAAGGCTCTACTTTTTTAGTTTTCTTATTTGACCCCGATTTTTAAAATCAAAGATAAAAGTTGACCCTATCCCGTTAAGACGAGTTAATAGTGTTAAATGAGGGGCAAATAGTCCCTTTTGCCCTTTCGTATTTGACCCTATTATATCAAAACGTGCATATATTCAACTGGGATTAGGAAACCGGCGAGTTTCCGAATCTCGGGTGAAAAATTCCTTGTGTCTTGTCTCTTTTACCTATTGCATTTACTTTTGTGCAATTTACTTTCTGTTAATGCCAAAATGTGGTAAGATTCTTCAGTGGATTTGGTTAAGGAAATAACACAATCAGTCGATGGAAAGCTTATCTAGAAGAGTACGAGTTCAAGAAGGAATCATGGAGACCACGTCATGGCAACTTAATTTATCTATTAATTAGGCAAGTTTTGTATTTAGGAAAGTTTGAGTCATGTCCGATGAGGACTTTATGTTTTTTCTTTTATTTTTAGGAAAGTTTGTTTAGTGTCCTATTAGGACTAGTATCCGCCCATGGGTAATCTGTTTCTCGATCAACACAACTTTGGCACATCGCCACCCCTTTTATTTTCATCTTTCTCTACGAGTTCTTGTTTCGAGTTGGGTTGCATCGGCTTCGATCTCCGACGAGGGGTAAGGCTTGTTATGGCTATTTGTATTGGTGGGGCTAGGGCCTTGACACTCTAATCTTGTCGATGTAAACACCTATTTATCATATATCGGTCAGATCTGACCGATATAGGTAAATTGGGACATCGATTTAGACTTTATGGTTGATTTTTAGACTTTATGCTTCTTTTCATACTTAGTACTACATCATTTAGGTTTGACCTACTAAGTCGTGCTTAGAATCATTAAAACTAACCCGCCTTTAATTACCAATAAAGGTTTCATCAGGGTTTTAGCCGATGGGTTATTTGGACGTTGCATCAGCTTACAAGGATTACATACAAGTTGGTTTTAGCTGATTGCAACAAAGGTTTCACTGATTATCTAATATTGTGGATTTAATGACATCGGAACACTAGCCGATGTATGCTTAACCTCCGGATCAAGCAATTATTCTATCAACATTATTGATCGATTGGTTTCTATTGGATTATATTATTGTTTTATCACATTATCATGAGCCGATTACCTTTATATCATTATTTATTCAAGTGTCAGAATCTACATTGGACATATAGTCGAATGCTCAAAACCCTATCGACATCGGCTAGCATTGCTATATCAGCTTATTGGCCAATTGATTCTTTGATCTTCAATTTATTCTTCTTGTTAGTTGTAGGATCAAATTGACTTGCATGCCCGTATCTCATTAATATTTTATACCTGTACTGGAGCTAAGCATATCTCCTAGGCCGTTGTGTTCGTCGACTTAGTTCACACCAACACAGATCTGGCACCATCGGCTGAGCACAGATTTTTCGTCAACACTTTCATAGAGACATACTTGAGCCCTTTTATCACTCTAGGATTGCAAAACATAATCTAGATGCTTAGTTAGTTGTATCTCTAACCTAGGTTAGTTTTAATTAAGTGTATTTTTTTAATATCACCTATTCACCCCCTATAGTCGACATCTCAATCCTACAAGTGGTATCAGAGCTTGGTCTCTCTTGATATTGGACTTTACCGCTTAGAGAGAAGATGTCGAACGAGGTGAACCATGTAGGGAAGGCTCCCATGTTCAGTGGCAAATCTAAGTTTTGAGACAGACCTTTCATGGGTTCAAAGAAAAGAAGAGTACGAGTGGGTGATGTGATTGACTAATAGGAAAGTGATATGAGTTGTGATCGGGTTTCTTTCTTTTTTTTGCCAAGGATATTCTTATTCACTGCTCAGAGAAAATGAAAAAAAAAACAAACTAGGATTCTTCCGAACTCAACTCCGTGGCCAAAACCATCTTCTCACTCTGACCCTCACATATCAGATCCCAGATGCATAGGAAAAGCGGTATCAAGAATAGTAGTATAAAGAAATATAGTACAATACTCAAGTAAATGAATTTGCCTAAGGATCGATGGAAAGATCAAGGTCCCCGTGAAAAAGTAGATACTAGATCTATATGATACACTCATCTCTGGAGTAACTTCTTCCATTATGCTGATCTCTAGGTCCGTTCCATCATCATCGTAATAGTATGGTCCCAGGTGTCCGAGCTATAGATCAAGATCATATTTAGTCACATTTCTACTGGTGCACTTCTCATGAAATAATTCCCTTTCCAAGGAAAGGAAAACAAGAACTCGAATACTTGTAATAGCGATCCCGATCCACCTACTTTTTTTCTATTCTTTGATTCGAAACATGCTAAAGCACAAGCCATTTTAGTGCATTATTCCCTTGGGAAATTAAGATGCCTACTCACCTTAAGACTACGAGCTTCCACATTTGGAGCATCGTTGATGTAGGCTTTGCTATCACCGACAATGACTTGATGGATGTTGACCATTGCAATCTCCAACTCAATGCCCAAGACATGAATGTCTTGATCAACACATTGAGCCAAGAAGAGTTTGATAGAGTTAGCAATCATAGGACCGCTTATGAGATTTGGAACAAGCTAAGTAAAATTCATGAGGGCACAAGTGAGTACAAGGATACCAAGCTTCAATTTCTCAAGATACAATATGAGACTTTTTTTTGACGGGAAACAACGGGAGAGACTCCTACTAGAATGCAATTACCAAAAAGAGAGTATTTACAGCAGAGAATGGGGGTGGGGGGTGGGGAGGGGGGGGGGAGAAATTTTACAGGGTGTCAATCCATGATTGCCATATGGGGGTGGGGGGTGGGGAGGGGGGGGGGGGAGAAATTTTACAGGGTGTCAATCCATGATTGCCATACATGACGGTCTTGTACTTTTCCCTATGCAAAAGCAGGGTAAATTCCTCTCTAAACAGGGCTTCCCATAGGTTGAAAGAGGGGAGAATATTGTTGAAAATGTAATCATTCCTCCTCCTCCGGATGTTCCAAAAGGCTACTGCAATAACCTCTATAAAGAAGTTATGATGAAAATTCCTCTATGCAATACGAGACTTTTGGCATGTTGCCCAAAATTATAGAAGATACCCATTAATTTATTTCCAAAAGTTTAATACTCATGAAGCTTGGCCGAAGGCAAATTGTAGTTCGAC